TTCTATGTTAATTTTAATTAAATTAAACACTAACGTTAACGTTATCCTGTGAAGCCCAGTCAGAGAGTAAGAAGAGCCCAAGAAAGAGCTCTCAAAAGATAGATTTACTCAGCAAGTCCAGTTTACGTTTTCAATCCTGAATGTGTTCAATAAAAATATTCCAAGTTTACTTGTATTGAAAACAATAACTCGGATTGACGATCCCTTAAGTAAACCTCCCTCCATTTCCATCACGACCATCTTTAATATATCATTTTTAATCGTTAGATTGCCGAGTGCATCAATATCATGAACAACATACTGAAACTTCTGTTCCGGTCGGATGTGGGCGCCACGCACAATGACATTCGGGACATAATGATCATCCTGTTCCGCACCGTAATGAAGGCAGCCCACTCCCTGGATAGGGATACGGGATTGGTGGGCAAGTTCTTTGCCATCATGCTGGGAATCCTGCAGCGCATGGACGCCCAGCACTACGAGTACTTTGTGAAGGACCTGCATCAGCGAGGGGAGCTAAAGCACTTTGTCGTAGAGATCCTTCTCGTATTCGAGGAGCTGGTGTCTCCACATCAGAAGGCGGTGTTTCCTCGCGATTGGATGGACATGATTATGCACCAGAACACCGTGATCCTGGGAGCCCTGAAGCACCTGACCGTGGTGATCACGGACTACTTCCTCTGCCCATTCGAGAAGCAAATCTGGTCGAATTTCTTTCAGTGTTCCATCGCCTTCCTGGTGCAATCTCCGCTACAGTTGAATGATTTCAACGACAACAAGCGGCAAATTGTGTTCGCACGATATCGCGACATTCGCAAGGATACAGCCATGGAGATCAGGAAGATGTGGTTCCAGCTGGGGCAGCACAAACCCAAGTTTGTACCGCAGCTGGTGGAGCCCATACTGGAGATGAGCATGATACCGGAGAAGGAGCTGCGCCAGGAGACCATCCCCATATTCTTCGACATGATGCAGTGCGAGTACTACAGCTCCCGTCTGGAGCAGGAAAGCTATGGCGATACCAAGTTCAATAACACTCATCACAAAGGAAATTTCTCCGATTTCAAGACAGCTATGATTGAGAAGTTGGACATTCTAATTGGAGCTGGCAAGGGCGATGCCGAGTACAAGGTTCTCTTCGAGAAAATCATGATGGAGCGCTGTGCTGCTCACAATACATTAAATGTGGATGGCACCGCGTTTGTGCAGATGGTTACCAGGCTGATGGACAAGCTGCTGGAGTACCGCTTCATTATCCAGGACGAGAGCAAGGAGAATCGCATGGCCTGCACCTTCTCGCTGTTGCAATTCTACTCGGAGGTCGATCTTAAGGAGATGTACATCCGGTATGTGTACAAGCTGTGCGCCCTGCACATGGAGTTCGAGAACTACACCGAGGCTGCCTTCACGCTCAAGCTGCACACGGAACTGCTGCGCTGGACAGACACGGATCTGTCACACCAGCTGCGCAGCTACCGGCACAGCAACTGCCGCACCCACCGCCAGTTGAAGGAGGCACTCTACTTCGAGATCATGGAGTACTTCGACAAGGGCAAACAATGGGAGTGCGCCATCGACATGTGCCGGGTGCTGGCCCGCCAGTACGAGGAGGAGATCTTCGACTACCTCAAGCTGGCGGAGCTGCTGAATCGTATGGCGTTGTTCTATGAGAAGATCATCAAGGAGCTGCGCCACAACTCCGAGTATTTCCGAGTATGCTTCTATGGGCGGGGGTTCCCGCGCTTCCTGCAGAATCGCGTCTACATCTTCCGTGGCAAGGAGTACGAGCGGCACAGTGACTTCTGCGCCCGTATGCTAGTGCAGCATCCCCAGGCCGAGCTGATGCAAACGCTGGAGGCTCCGGGCGAGGATATTACCAATAGCGATGGCCAGTACATCCAGGTGAACAAGGTGGAGCCGATAATGGGTCAGGCATTTAACAAATTCAACGATAAGATCATCAACAACGAAATCGTCAAATACTTTACCGCCAACAACGTGCAGAAGTTCCAGTTTTCACGTCCATTCCGGGACAGCATCAATGGCGGAGACAGGGATGATGTTCGGAATCTGTGGCTGGAGCGCACTGAGTTGCTCATCCGTTTCCCTCTGCCGGGCATTCTGCGCTGGTTCCCCGTCATCGAGACCAACACCTTTAAGATCTCTCCCCTGGAGCGGGCGGTTGAAATTATGAAGGACACGAACCGGGACATTCGACAGCTGGTGATCCTGCACAAGAGTGACGAGAGTCTGCATATCAATCCACTGAGCATGAAACTGAACGGCATTGTGGATCCTGCGGTGATGGGTGGCTTTGCCAAGTACGAGGAGGCCTTCCTAACCGACGATTATCTAGAGCAGAACCCAGACGACAAGGAGCTGGTGGAGGAGCTCAAGGAACTGATTGCCAATCAAATTCCGCTGCTGGAGATAGGTAAGCTACAAGGTAAAAGAAAAGGTTCAACGATTTAAGACCATTTTTTATCCAACACAGCTATTCAGCTCCACCGCATGCGTGCTCCGGACAGTCTGAAAGCGCTACAAGAGCACCTGGAAGGCTGCTTCGCCGACATGCAGCAGCACGTGGAACTGCGCTACGGTCGCAAGTCCTGCGACCTGAAATTTGAAAGAGATTCGGTGGTGATGCGTCGCCCGAACTTCTTCCTGCCGCCTCTCTTCGATGGCAGCAACAATCGCCACTCGGAAACCAGCATGGGATCCTCAGAGTAAGTCATTATAGCTTTCTGCTTAAGGTGGTGTCTCATGCCGTTTCATTTTCATTCCCATTTGCAGTAGCGGCCTGTCGAAGTCAACATTTTTGCCGCGGCCACAAACCAATTCCATTAAGAATCCATTCTCCGGCTTGAGTTTCAACCCTAGGTGAGTGCCATTGATGATCCCGATTTGTTTGGAATGCTTTTCCTAACCATAACCTTTTTAACTCTTTCTTCACACTAACTGCTGGCATTTAGTTTGAGACTCTAACATTATTTTGATTTTGGTTGATTTTTAAATTGCATTTTTCTTTCCTTTCGTTTTGTTTCATTAAATTCGTTCTGTTGCTTATCATCTACGATTACTTTGCCCATGCCACCATGTGCAGACCCAGTTTGGGCCACTCGCCGAGCATCAAGAGCAACAAGAGCAAGGACAAGACACCCAGCAAGCGGCGCAATAAGGATGGAAAGGTGAAGGTAAGCGGTTTGATATGACTTTGCCTTGAAACCTTACTAAAAGCTATTTTAAACCCACAGGAGCGTGAAGCCCACAGCCTGTCCAGCAGTCAGTGGTATACACCACCATTGTCCACCATAACATCAACGCCTGAGAAGGAGATCAACACATCCATAGCTTCGCTGGCCAGTACATCTAATAGTTCTCTGAGTGGTCCGAAGACTCCAGATCCTCATGTCCTCACAGAGGAGGTTGGTTTATAGTATATTGATTGTCATGTTATTATCTAACCTTTTGTTTTTGTTTATAACAGCTTACACCGAAGCGACCTTTGCGTTCGGAAATGGAGAAAGAACGTCGACTTTCTCGTCCTGCCAGCATTGCCACGCCAACGGCCACTATCAAGAATTTCCCCGACACGCGTTCGCTGTCCGAGAGCAGCAATCGTAACTCTGTTGGTAAGTGTTAATCTATATATTTAAAGTACACGGCTTAATAGATTTAAATTGTCACGCAGAAACTACAGATTCCACATCCGAGGAGGACATTCGGCCGCCACCATTGCCCGCCAAGGCACGCGACTCCACGGACTTCACTAGCCTGTCGCAGAACATGGATTGGACGCCGAATGGTTATGCGATGCTTAGTACCATTAGCAACACCAGCAGCAGCAGCATGAGCACCACCTCGACCCTGACGAAGACCAGTATTACGAACACCACGTACGAGTATTTGGAGACCACGAACTTCAGTTTGGTGGGTGCCGTCGATGGAAACAAACCGCGTCCGCCGACGCCGCCACCGAAGCCATCGCGCCACAGCAAACACATTCCATAGGGTAGCAAGGGGCGAGATTGAAACCCCAAGAGCTTCCAGTGCAGCGCCATAAATGTTCAAACGTTGTCGAGTGCCAAATATTCCTGATACTACATGTGTAGCCGGCCATCGAGCCGCCTGCAAACGCAGCCACAAAAGCAGCAACGACCTTTGCCTCAACCTATCGACCGCCTGTCTACCAAATCAAGTGTCTTAAAAAACGATCGCATTAGCCTGTAACATTCAGATTTCCGATAACTATATGTTTAAGTGTTTGGTTACGTTTTAATGATATTATGTTGAACATGTCATTTTCGTTTAGTTAAGAGATTTGTCGTGTAATTTGTTTCCCTTGTTGGGAACCCAACTGCTTGTCTTCCACAAGTACTCATTAACGTTGTACACATGTGTGTTGTACCTTAGATATATACAATTAGGTGTAAGCTTAAATCAGCAATTCGAAGAACTTTGTACGTCTCTTATGCAAACAAGTGCCACAGTCTATATGCAATAGCAATTAACATACACGAACCCCACGACCATAACTTCGATTTTACGAACAAGCAAAATGGTTTTAGCACAAATTTACTAACGAGTCAATTACGAAACATTAATGTGAAACGAAATCTTGCATGCTACAATTTTAAACATTTTTTGAAGAACGCATAACTATTTACACTGTTTTTATACGATTCAGTATAGCCATAATGTAGAGGAAATAAATGTTGAGATTTATTCGTTAAGCTTATATAAATATTATATATAAACGAACTACTTGCACTGAAACCATACGGCGCAATTATTTAAACGAACCTGAGTTTAAATATTTAATTTTAGCCAAAATCGTTGTTTAATTTTGTTTTTAATGGATTCTGTGTAATTTTCGATCTGTGTATCGGCCAAAGATTAAGCAATAATAAAATATAATTAAGCATGTACCAACCATGATTTCATTATATTAACTGGGGGAGTTTAAAAAAAAACCAGGAAACAATGAAAACAAAAATTGATTTGGTTTGGTTAAAAAAGTTTATTCAAGATATTTTTGTGGGGGCTTCTTTGATTAGTTAAACACGAAACCTGTTAAAATGAACACATTAACCAGGCCTGGTAAAAGTTAGTTATAAGTTAATATTGTCGAGTAAATATTTGTTAGATAAATCTGCTTTGCACGCAGATCCATCCTGAAAGTGGGGCTTATGTTTAGTAAATTGTAAAATGGCTTCAGTTTCTTCCTTGAAAAGGCACACAATAATACGTTTTGAAAATGCACGGAATGTTTGTTGTTCAGGGACAGCTGGGTCCTGAGATTTGAGACCAAAGTAAGTAAGAGAGTGGGTGAGAAAGATGGCAGGAACGGGATTAAAGATCAACTCCGCGGGCCGAGTGCAGGTCCACGCATATCTTGGAGTTGCGGTTCTGCTTCTGACTTATCTCTAGTACTTGGAACATCTCCTTGAGGGCCTCGCTGGTGCCCGTCTTGCGGCGATTGCGCCTCCGCAGGGTCACGCCTCCCGACTTGAACTCGCGCATCAGAGCGTCAAGACCTGGAACAAAAAAGGTTAAGCAATGAGACCTTTGCTTTGTGGTGGTGGAATTACAATAAGAAGCTACTGAAGCTTGACGAACATGCGGTTAGCTGTTAGAGGAAAGAGGTAACAAAACCGTGTCCAAATGGAACAGGAGCACAATACTCACCCACGTCGTAGTCAAGTAAGCCGGGGACTTTAAAGGACGTTTGTGAAGGTGGCAATTGGTCATAAATCACGGACAAGGCCAAAACGGGTTGATGCGAGCACCATGTCGGGCACTCAGCAACTGTCACCGTCGACAAATGAAGCTGGACCACGGGACAAGTCAATGGAAATATACGATCGCCCCCACTCCTGTTGTGTGTGTGGGTTTTCAATGGGGGTGGGTGCTCAAGGACCAGGAGAAGTGGCGCAATAAAACACGGAAATATAAAACGCACAAATAATAATAATAAGCCATGGCCGGCCGCCCACCAACAACAACCAAAATGGGGTTTGCGGTTCTGTAGCGGTGCTATGGCTTGTGGCCCCTTCTCGTAAAAATAATAAATTGCGTCCTCCTCGTCGTCGAATTTGATACGGTCCGTGGCTTGACAGTTTGGGGCGCAGAAGTGGACCAGAAACCAACACATAAAGCTGTGCGCCAGCCAAGGCAAGCGTAAAATATAGGAAAAATGCGAGAGTTTCGCTTAAAGCCAAAATTCAGGCAGGCTTCCTCCTTGGGTTGCCGGGTGGAAGGGGGTTGTGGAGCTTGGAAGCCAGGCAAAAGCCTTGTGCTCCAGTTCTCCGGTACTTTGTCGGCACGGCTCGGCTCGGCACGGGCCAAACTTAAATCAAATTTAAGTTTTCAATGTATCGCATGAAACCGGAAATGGCACTCAGAGACGCAGAGAGCTTTAGTGTCGGCCAGGATATTGGCAAATGTGTGCTGGAATATCCGCTGGCACTCCACTCCTCCTCGGCTCCCAAAGACAATTCAGTTAAACCGTGCCATGGTGCACAAACATAAGCCCGCAGATTCGGCAACGCAGGTCAGGTCATGGAGGTCGGGCTGCCGTAGAAAGTGAAGCTGGTAGCGGGTATCTGGTGGCCATGGCAGCCACACCAACAATGGCTGGCAGCAGCAACTTGTTGTTATGTATACACACGACACAGCCTGGCTTGGACAATATCAGCATTCGCCTCGCTTCGCTCCATCTCGTTCCGGTGCGGAACGCTTCATTTGTTTTCGCCTCCCCGCCGAGCAGGACGACGAGCTTGACTTGACGAGTGCGGCCAGGACACGAGCACGGGCTGATGCCTAGCCCGTAAAGCTGATGTACGGCTGGCTGGCAGCTCAAACGCTTCACGTGCCCCAAGGCAAGCGCGCGCGTTCTCCGCTCCACTCCGCTCGCCAGGTGCTTCTCAGCTGCATATAGCCAGGATATATATCCGAATAATATACCTCTATATATAAATCGTCACATTCGTGGCTGTGCGTTTTTCTGGCTTCCAACAATAAGCGCGTTGATTGATTTTGATTTGAATGTGCGCTCGTTACGCATACGACTCGTGGTGCGCGCCAAAAAGTGGGCAACAGAAATGAAACCAGAGCCAAAACAAAACGGAAACGGAAGTGCTTAGTGACAGTGACAGTGTGCAGTGTTAGTGAAAGTGTGTGCCAGTGTGTGTGCCAAGCATGGCCCTGACATTGCTGGCTTGACGTGGAGTTTTAACGCCAAGTAAGTGGACCAGCGCAGGATTATAGTCATAAGATAAATCACCTCATTGTAATAAACCTGTAGCTGAACATTCAAGACTAGCTGCCGGATCAATATCTCACATATATATAGTATGTAGATACATATTTCCCGTAGGTTTATATAATGTAATCATGCACTTCCTACCCAGCTGCACACACGCACAAAGGGTTCAGCAACAATAATGTACACGGATATATTTACAATGTGATGCGGGCGTATGGGTTGATTTCATTTTCATTGAGCTTATCAGGCAGCCCGCCCTGACATGTGCAGGCGGATGATTTCTCTATTCACAACGGGTTGATTTAAAGTCGGTATTTGTATATACATATGTACACTCCTGCAATCAAAATTGATTCGTTTAATTCAAGAATTCCTCAAAAGGGAAAATTAAATGGCAATGATGACCCACAAGTGCAATGCCGAAATAAACACCTCGGCTTCTCTTTGTATGCTATATGCTCATATATATTGTGAAATGATGACAATCAGTAAATCCATCGCTTCGGTGGGTAAAATTTCAAACCTAATTAAATTTCCACTAGCTTTTAACTCGCACTGAAGGCATGACAAAATCGAGTATTCGAAGGGCAATTGAATTTATTTACAATGATGACATGTAATTAGAGCTTTTGTGACAGATATATCTTATAAAAGAGAACTTCCAAACTATAATTTTAGAAATCTATAAGAAATGATAACTCCTTTTGATACCAATAATTCCTACTGATGCCATGCCTGTCCATATATCTTATCTAAGAGAACTTCCAAATTAATTTTACAGAACCATATAGGCGATAAGGCCAACTTTAAATTTTCCACCCTACAAACTGATAACTCTGGCAACCTGCTTCTTGTGCCAATAATTCCTATTGATACCATGTCTGTCCAGGGCATCACTAACCGCTCCCCTATCCCTGACCCCTTCAAAAAGCTGCTCGCAAACTTAATTAAGAAGTTGCTGCTGCAGCCGTCGACAGTGAATGGATGGGAGAGCCAGCCAGTGAAAGCCTGCATTGAGCCGTAAAAGAAGCCGACGTGTAGGTAAAATCAATTACAATCGCAGACGGGTTGGGTTGCTGCTGTGCTGCCTGTTATGGGATGGGGATGGGGGTGGAGAGGAGCAGGGGGCTCCAGCGGAAGGATGAGTGGCGTGGGCGTAACTGACAATTGACAGCAACAAGTTGGGCCCTTCAACCAGTGGCAGATCTCCAGGACACGGCGACAATGGCAGGCACTTGTCAACGCACGGCTGGTGAGGATTAGCCGCAGACACATGGCTGCTGGTAACATGAGTGGGGAAAACCTCCTGATGACAGCCTTCTTGAGGCCAATTTCCCGATTTCAGACAGACAATGCAGGCAAACTAATCTGCTCAAATCGATTTAGGCCAATGAAACGCTTCGAAAATTCAAGTATTCTGAAGTCTATTCAACTTGGGCATAGTTTCTCATACCCTAGGGGCCAAGGAGTTCATCTGCCAGCCACTCGAGCTCCTTGAGCGGCAGATACTTCTTCCAACAATGGTCAAAAGTTGCTGGTGAACTTTATTAAATTTCAAGCCCTTATGAAAGGTCCCTAAAGTCAAAGAAAAAAGAAGGAAAGGGAAAGTAAGGCCAAGAAGGGCGAAAGGAAAGGTGTTTTTTGGGTCATCAATGGGGCACTGATACTTAAACTTTCCCCACGGAAACCCACACACACCCTCTGTATTTTATCCATGCAAACTGGCCTGCTGGAAAGGAGCTGGATTCTGGGTGGGACTACATACCTGTTGCTGCCTCGGCCTGTACCTGATGCTTCACATTCTCGATGATCTTGTCGCCGCTGCCCTTGCGCAAGCTATGTCCGGCAATGTGGTCACTCAAGCTACCACCGCCAAGGGCACCACCACTGCCACCAGTCCTACGGCAGGGAAAAGTTGGCCTGCCTTTGGGGAGGCGGTGGCGGCGGCGGAGGAGGAGGTGGCGGTGGAGCAGCCAGCGATTTTTGCTGGTAGAGCGCCAATTGCTCCTCGGCATGATCGGCACGCGTCACTGCCTCGCGCAACTGCTCCTCGAGTATCTCCAACTTAAGTTGTAATTTTTTTAGTTCATCGTTAGTAGTTTTGGCTATAGCCGCATCCATTAGATTTTGCTACAAATGCAAGAAACAAGAACAAGGATAGAACGGGGCGGGCGAGCAGGAGCAGGAAGAGAGCGGGTTGGGTGGTTGTGGTTGAGAAAATTAGTGGATCTATCAAAGCGTATCTGGGGGGCAGGTTAGTGCAACGAAAGCCAGGGGATCGTGAGTAAGGGAACAGCTGAATAGCGCACGGCAAGCGAGTTGCTTACGTGTCTCGGTTGATATTTTTTTGGTGGAGAAGGAGAAAATAGAGGTGAGCTGACCCAGCACCAAAATTGGGAACAACAACATGCCCAGCTGGGCACATTCCGTGCATTCTCAGGTCGTATTATAAATAGGCATTTGGGGAACCACCTTCACCAGCTGATATTGTTGTCGCTGTTTAGTTGCTCTTGAAGATATTCGAGAACGGCTTGAAAATATCAAACACGCTGCGTGTTTGCTAATGGATTGACAGATGGACAGAATAGACAGTTTGATAGAGATAGCCATAGACCAAGTGCAAAATATTAGAGTACAAGTAACTCGGGACTAACCATTTCCACAATGCGCTCGTTGTGCTCCCTGGCCTGTTGCTGCACCTGGTCCTGGATCTGCTCGAACTCCACCTGCTCGTTCAGCACGCTGGACGAGGTGCTGGTTCTGGTTCCCGGCTGTCCATCGGTCAGATCGCGTGTCTTCGCTGTAAGCTCATCATTGCGCTGCTTCAACTTGATGAGAGCCGCCTCCATTCTGCAGGGTTATACACTTGGTTTAACTCTTGGATTTATATTTATTAAATGGAGTTTACTTCTGGCTAGTTTCCACACTCTCCTTCATGTTTTCTGTCAGCAGCTTGGCCACTTTGGTCAAGTTGCTGTTTTCCGTACGCAGCGCTTCGTTTTCCTCCTCCATTGCATGTTGCTGTATCAGAAAGTATAAAAATAAAATAAAGTTTAAGTGTGGTTTGTAATCACTGATCATTTAAATTTGTCATCTATTGACCACGTAATGATACATATTCAAGCTTTCTAAGTTGAAATTCGTATTCTCAAGGTAACTAGTGGGTTGGTATAGTATGTTTTCTATAAATCGCAAGATATTTCGTTATTGATCTTCTATCATCCCATCTTACCTGCTCTAATAGCTCAGCCATCTTTTCGTTGGCCTCGTATAACTGTAGCTCCACAGCACTAGTCATATTTTTAAGTGTCAGGAACTCATCGGCCAGACGCTCCACCAGGCTGCTGGTAATGGGCACCCCTTCCGAATTGACATCGACCAGACTGTCAAGCTCTTGAGTGCCGATACTGTCGGCACTGTCTGTGCTGCCCGACTGCAGAATCTTAAAAAGCTTTCGTTTGAGTTCCACGGATCCCAGAACCGGACGCGGGCTTATTACAGGTGTCTATCCTGTGCTTCTCGCGTATATGCTCCAGCTCGCTGGTGAGACTGGAAATGCCAATACATATTATAAGAAATGGATCTGTTATGGTTGCAATCTTTTTACATACTTGTGTATCTGGTCGACCTTCATTTTGTGCAGCTTATCCAAAGCATTTCGTTCGTTAAGAGCCTTGTTAAACTTTGCGCTCAGATCCTTGATTTGGGTCTCGAAATTGGTCTGCTGCTGTTGCAGGGACTCCAAGGCCATGCAAACCTTTCATGCTGAGCCTGCTGCTCCTCCTGCGTGGTTTTATCTGAAAGGAAAAAATAAGATAAGGACTTCGAAATAAAAATACTATAAAGATAACCTACGGGTTTCAATTTCCAGTTTTAAGCCTTGTTCTCTTCCCTGAGGGCGATGTTATCTTCCAGCAAAGTGAACATGTCGTGCTCCGGGTCCTGCTCATTGTAGTCCGGCTCCCTCACGCGACTCCTGCTGCGCGTCTTGGCCTCCTGGGTTCGGAACTTGGCCACCGGAATGCGTCCGCGTCGCTCCATCTCCCAAAAGTTTATTGCCTGGAGGAATAAAATGTTCAATTTTTAGTCACTGACAATAAGAATAACTTAAAATTTGCTTACGTTTCGCCTGCGCACAAGCCTTAAAGCCAAATCCTTAACCTCTTATGCTAAGCAATGCAAATGGAACTTAATGCTGCCATCACCAAATGATGAGTGTGATTTGTTGGGATGTATTGTGTGGTAATGGGTATATGAAATGGAGGTGTTGTGTGCTGCATGCCTTGAAGGTGACGAATGGTTCCTGGGGGGATGAGGGCCCACATTGAAACGCCTTGGAGTTTTACTTTTCGATTTTATTATTTGCTGTTTACAATTTCTTCTTGGTTTCTGTTTAATCTTGCCTTGCCCGCCCCCTTCTTGTCACCCTATTTTGCCCTGGGTGCCACATGTGTGTGCTTCTGCTGGATTTTGTGTTACATTCGCATGGATTCTGCTGTTTGCCCTCCTCAATCTTCTGCTTCGACTGCTAAAAATGCAGGACACCAGTTTGCCTTGGTTAAATTTATACCAGAAGTTGGCCGAAAGCATTTGGAATGCCTGCCGAAAATTGCTACGAAACTAGTTAAAGTGCCGCGCCCACTGCTCAATTTAAGCTTATAAATGGTTTAGCTTGGCTTTAGAAATATTTGCCTGTTAGTGCAGAAGCGTTTCAATTGCCCTCTTTGCTTGGGTTTTCTTTTTCTTTTGTCAATTCTTAACTAGTTTAATTTAACTTGATTTTTGCATTTGTTTTTATCGGTTTTCTTTTGTTTCTTTTGCTAATTACTTATGCGTACAATTTCCTTTGCTTTTGCCGTAAATCAATTTTATATTTTGTCACTTGTAGTGTAAAAATAAAAAAACCTAAAGTTTATACACAAAATTCTCGAGTTTAGTTTAACTCATTTTTTCGCTACTTTTGTTAGTGGCCTCGCTTTAAATATTATATATAATTTTTGAGATTGAGTTGCTTTTCGTTTTCAATTTAGTTTTTAGCTTGTTTTCATTCAATTTTATAAAAATACTAATTGAAGGCGGCTTAGAGCTCTTTGTTTTTGCTTTTTTCTCTCGTTATATTGTTGTGTATGCTTCTATGCTTGATTAGTTTTTTAATTTTTTTTAAATTTGGTTTAAATAGCTATATAATGTTTTCTTTATATTTTCGAAATTAATATTAGTGTATTTTTTCTTTCCTTTTTACAACTAATTTTAAGATTTATCTTTGGATAATCATGCTTTGTGTGCTAAATACTTTACATGTCTTTACGAATTTTATAATTTACATTTTTTTAGTATACGTACGTATAATTTTTATAAATTAATATTGTTATAATTTATTTATATATATTTGTTTAATATACGTGAAATTTCTGAGTCGAACAAGAAGCCTCAGAATCGAGATTGGAAATACGGATCTGTTAGGAAGAGAGGGGTTAATTTGTCGTAATGTTTTGAGCCGTTTGCATTGAAAATACATAAATTAATGCTGGTAATCGTTTAAAATAATCAAATAAACAAAACGAATTCATAAAGCTTTGTACTGAAAGGTAAAATAAACAAAAATTCGTTTAAGTCTAGAAAAGTATGCTAAGCTACGCAGCTAGTTCTATAAATGAAGTCCGCTTTAATTTTAATGTTTAACGAAATACTGTGGGTTTACAAAAGTGAATAGTCCATGTGTAAATATAAATAAATTATTTATATACCCAGCCTTAGTTGGGTAACGCATTGTCAGAATTAAAATTCTTGAAAATAGTTTTCGACATCGGAGATTCCGTTATACATAGTTTTTCAATTTTTTTTTGGATTTTCTTTTTATTTTTTGGATACGAGTAATGTGTAAATATGTTTATCTTTGTGTTGGATTATGACCAAGTCATCGAAAGGGAATCATCTTAGCTTTCATTTAAGGAACGTGTTGTGATACAAATGAAATGGATAATGGGTCTTGAGGGTTCTTTTTTTTCAAAGGAAATCTGTGTGTAAAAACAAAGAATTTTCGTTTTGACAGATGTATTCATCGTACAACATATAGGTGTATGGAATACTCGTTCACAGATCTACTTATCGTACAACAAATATGTGTGTTGGGGCGACACTTGGTCTATGTCACCCACTGTGGGTTGCAAGATTCACAAGCAAAATTTAAGACTGATCGTTTGAGTAATGTTCTTGACTGGACCCCTACGACCGCGCCTAGTCTAAGGATTGGGTTCAAACGATGTTGCTGTATGCTTCAGTTGATGGTTGGTTGTTTGCTTCGTTGTGGTGTTTGGTTTGGTTGCAATCGGATAGCTGCTGGTTGGTATTACTTCAACTACATCTCCTCGATGAAGCCACGCAGCTTGTCGATTAACGGGCGTCGGTAAAGGGTCGAGTGCGCCATCTCTAGCTTATACCACTTGTCGAACGACTCCTTGGGTATCACCTCGCTCTCGTATAGCACGCTAAACGTACTGCAGATGGTCTCACTGGCGGCCATATCGTCCTCACCTTCGGTCATGAAGTGCTGCTGCAGGGAATCCACGGCTTCGTCTATGCAAGCGATCTCCAGCGCCTCCTGGGCGTCGATGCAGAGTCGCAGCAGTGGTGTGCACCGGCTGCGAAAGCTCTCCGTGTTCAGCTGCGGCGGCCTCGCGTTGCCGCCGCTCTTGTTCTTATGGGTATTTGTCATCACAGTCAGCGCGAAATCACAGCACAGGAACCTAGTGAGCTGTCTCACAAAGTTGTCGTTGATAGCCACATTGGTGTTTATGTAGTCGATGGCCATGTCGCAAGACAGGGCGAGCAGGTATCTAATCCGCTCTATGTGCTCCACCGGCGACCGTGGCGTGGTGGGCGCCTTGACTTTGGCATGTCCCTGATCTGGCCGGGCCCGTTGTCCAGGAAATAAAAGCTGTGCGACTGCACAAACTCTCTATACTTGCGAGAATCGTTCCAGAACAGCTGCCCCGATCAGTTTGTAATCGTTGTGCCACAGCTTGCGGGCATAAGCGGCTCCGAACTCCTGACAAAGTAGCTAACGAAGGCGTACACAAAGCGCTCCGTGAAGAACAAGTCGTCTAACCAGCGCCGCTGCCAAACGTCCTTCAGGTCCAGTTGGCCCGAGTGAATAATCGGACCCAGGAACTCGAACACATAACCCCATCCGTTTGGCACGTCCACCAGCAGATCGGGGAAGTCGTCTCCGAAACGAGAGTACGCCTTTTCAAAGACTTCCTTGTCAACGGCTTCCTTGCTCATGAGGTAGGCAAACACATTGGCGCAGGCCTGACGATGCTGGCGCTTCACCATCGACTTATGCAGATATTCCATCAGAAGGTAGTGCAGAGTTTTCGTTTGCTGCGAGCCACTGTGCGAACGCCAATTGGCCAGGACCTCCGGTTGCCAATCGCGCGTGTTCAGAGCCTCTTCGACCATCATGTTAATGAGCACCTGGCATTGTTTGGTATCAAAACTGGCATCTGGTGACTGATCCACGTGACTCCTGTTACCACTGGCAGCCGTCATGGGTGTCCTAAGGTCGGCGGAGGCTGCTGATACGGGGAAAATCTGTAGTTTTGGCCAGGTCGTTTTAGCAACGATGTGGGCGGAGGAACGTTAGACGAGTTGACTTTCGACGAGCTGACCGGACGGTTGCCCTCATTGCGCCACTGATAATGCGAAGGGTTTCCTAATTTGGCAAGTGTATCATCGCTGGCGCTGCTGCTGCTGAAGCGCAGTTTGCTGGGATCAATGCTGAGTGTGTGGTTCTCGTGGTGCTGCTTGTTGGGCATCTTCTGCATGAAGTAGTTTCCGCCGTCGTGACCATGTGGTGGTGATGCTTTTGCTGCTGGTGATGCATCGATTGCTGGTGCTGATTCATTCCACCACCACCTCCACGCCCTCCGCCACTGCTGTGATGCGACTGATCCTTGGAATCGTCGTGCGGTTTGTGCCGCTGCTGTCCACGTCCACCCTGCTGTCCTGTCTGGTGTGCGGTGACTGGCTGATCCCAGTTGCGCAATCTCAGGTCGAGCACATCCTGCATCATAAATCGCACCCGACTGCTGATCTTGATCTGCACCTGCCCGCGGTGCGACGTTCCTCGAGAACGGTTTATGATGTCCTGGATGCGGCGGAATATCTTCTCAATGCGATCCCTCAACTGGTACTGCTCAGGTAGGCTAGCCTCGAGCAAATGTCCCACAGTAGTCAAGAGTTTGCACATATACTCCAGCTTCTCCTCGCAACCGTGTTCGAGCAGCGATTCCACGCAGTTGAGAACTCGGTCGCTGGTCAGCGACTGCAGCTTAAAGAGTTCGCCGATGAAGCGCACAGTTCCCCAGGCACGTCGTCGGAACTGGTACTCCAGGTCCTCCATTTCGGCGCGCAGCTCCGTTTTTCTTGCCGGGTCCGAGCACTGACTGATGCGATCCATCGTGGGCTGCAATTTCTTGGCCTTCGCGTTGGCATCGTTTACATTCGACTCAAACTCATGTTGAATCCGCGTGATCAGAGAGCTGGTGAAAAGCGACTTGTTTTCGGCCTTGATTTCGTGAAATAGCACCTTGCAGAAGCGGGCATAGGTGGGCGCAAAGTTCGGCTCGCTAATAGTCTTCTCAAAGATTAGCAGCATGACCTGCAAAGAAATTGATATAACGTTAGTTATTTAACTTAAATAAACTATAAATAGCGTAACATATACGTATATCCAATTAAAAGTCAACTTACGTTGGTCATTTTGGCTTCATTGTCCATCTTGATGCTGGACATCTCCTTAAGCAGCACGTCAAAGTTGTCGGGCGTTAGCTTGTTGAGGATACCGCGCACCTTTTTCAGTACTCCCCCCACGTCGTCTTCTTCGTCCTGACCACCGGCCGTGGACACGCGGCGCAGCGTACCCGGCTGCCATGCATTCTCGCACTCAGAAAGCTTGATCTCCTCCTTAAGCGAGAGCTGCACCCGGATGATATCCATGTGACGCTGATTTGAGTTCATTCCACCTCCTCCGCCACCTCCCATGTTGCCAATGCCGCTCGAACCTCCCATCTGCGGATGTCCATCGTGGTGCTTCTTATTGGGTCCGTGGCCACGACCCCGCTTGCCGGGCACATAGTCCATCGATTCGTTGAAGCTCATATGTTGGTACTGCTGGATGTGCTGGCTGTGGCCGTGACTATGGTGCTGCTGGGGTTGCTGCTGGCGGGAGACGAACAGCTGGGAGATGCAGTCGCCCTTCTGGCAGGGGACAAGCGGTGGCTTGCGCGAATCAGATCGCTTGGAAAGCTCACGCAGTGTTTCGATGCTGTAGCGATAGTTTTTGGGTACTTGGGGAGCGGGACTAGGGCTTGGACTCTTCGAGTTGGGTACCTTTTGCTGACTGGCTTTGGGTGATCCCGGTGCTTTGCCGGTTGCCTGATGCAGGGGAGAGCTCTTCTTGCTACCTTCGCTCCTCTCTCCAGAAATCGGTGTATTAACTTTGGGAGCGCAATCGACATTATCCGCACTCCTGCTGCTCTGCGAGGAGTCGTCCTCCGCGGCCTTGCTGATCGTCGAGCTTGACCATGTGGAGCTGCATATGAAACCTGTGTCGTGACGTGCCTCTTCATGGAAATCACCAAACTTGATTTCCACCTCAGCATTCTCCTCGGACTTGCCCTTGCCACCAGATCCTTCTGGGACTGGGTCATCTTCCTCGCAAACAGAGCTGCTACTGTTCAGGAACTGCAGCTGTTGTGTCTCCGAAGGGGCGGCGGATGTGTTGGGGCTGCCCTTTTGCAGGAACTTGGCCACAATCTCTTCGTTAGCTAAATGCTTTACCAGCTTTTCTTCGGAAATATTCGTCATGCTGTCCTCCTTGCCGTCAGCTGGGGAAGATACCATTCATTTAAGTTATTACAATTACATTTTGAAACACTAATAATAATAAATAAATAAGTAAATGATCCTAAATTATCTTTACTCACATTCAGGATCGCTGTCTGCCTCCGCGTCGATGTCATCCTCATCATTATTGTTGTTGTTGCTCGACAACTGCTCCTTGGGATTGAGCATGGGGTCTCTTATAGTAGAACTTACGTTAGGATTATTTCTAGTTGCACTAAGCTTATCAGTCGTCGGTTGCGCAGTCGCCTTGTCATCGACAGCCGTCGTTCCTTGTTTGGTGGTTGCTGCTGCCGTGGTTGTTGTCAGAGTGGTTGTTGATGTTGTGGTCACTGTGGCAGCATTGTTGTTTGTGTTGATACTGGCGCGCCGTTGCCATTGCCCTTGCCATTGCCATTGTTGTTCTGCCCTTTGCTGCTTGTGGTGCTTGTTATCGAGGATTTCTGTTTCTTCTTCTCCAGCTCCTTGGCCCGTTTTTGGGCCTTGCGCTGGCTTTTGGTGGAATTGTTGATGGTCGTGTTGCCGGCGAGCAGGGTAACGGCGGCTGAGATGCGTGAAGCGGTCGGTAATGCTGTAGTTGAGTGTCTTCCTTGAATCTGCTTGCCCTGCTGCAGGCTATTCACTGGCTGATTCTGTAGCTGTCTGGGCGCGTGGGTTGGCGTGGAAGTTGCCGAAGAAGAGGCCCCCGAACTGGTCGTGGTCGAGGTAGCAGGCGGAACGTTTGATTTCCTGTTGGGTGAGCCCGCTGTTGACTTGGCCGTCGCCGGAACAGCTGTTGTAGCTATCGACTTGGTGGCTTCTGCTGGGCGACACGTGAAGCTGGCGGCGGTGTCGACGGTCTGGCTGGTGTCAGCATCGGCTGGCTTCTGGACAGGATGGAGATTCCGGGGCAACCGCTGGCCGCTGCCTCGGCTACGTCATTCGCTATGGATGTGGGCGTAGCGGTACCTGCAAACAATGTCATCAGTCGGTGTCTTATTATTTAAGTTTGTTCCCACTCACTTTGCTTGTTGGCCGATTTGGGCCGCTGCTTTTTTGCCTGCTCTTGGAACAGAACGGGCTGCTGGCCCGCGTCGACGGCTTCGGGCAGATTCAAATCCGAGTGTACTAGCTGTAAGCTATCGTGGGTTTCCGTGGCATTGTCCACTGCAAGGGGAATCATTAGATTTGTACACTTAAAGCACGGCCAACTTCGGCTTGCCGAATGCGTTACATACCCTGGGATGGTTTTGTAGTTAAGTCGATTTGTTTACAATTTCAAAAGTTTTTATATGTTTTTGATACAATTCTATTTCAATTTATGTACGTTATAATTTTGAAGTCAATTTCTAACTGCTTGTTAATAACAATCTGACAAAACCAGGCTGCTGGGATACTTTCCTTCATTTATTAGTATTAGTATTAATATTCTGGGAAAACTAAAGTCGAAATATAGGGCAAACAAAATAAAAATAGTTTAACATGTGGGACTGACTATTAAACGACGGATTGCCAAGTAACCGCTTTTATGAACTCACCGTCACTGTACTGCCAGAAGCTTAGATGCTCCTCGGTGTTGCCCGAGTGGGCCAGTATGTCCTTGACAATAACGCTGATCTGATCCTTATCCGTGGCTCCAGGGGGAGGGGATGGGCGGACTTCCTGGCCCACAGGATCATCACCAGCAAACACTATACCAGGCACCTTTTCCAAGGAAACGGACTGACTTAGAGAAGTCGCCGACTGCAGAGTTTGCATATGCTGGTCCACCACTGAGCCCGACAGAATGGATGACGCCGAGGCGGAGTCCATGAGGATAGGCGCCTGGAAGAGGCACATGGTGCTGTCCGAGTCCAGGGCCGTGCTCGGTGTTAGCGTCGAGTTCGAGTCCTTCTTAATAAACACCGAGCTCTTCGGATCCAACACGTTCTCCTTGGTATCCGGGTGGATAATGGGAATGGCATATTTGCGCTTGCTGACCTTGTCGCTATTAGCCCCCAGTTGTGGTTGGGCTGCGGCCACAGGCGGTGTAGGCAGCGAAGTGGTTGAGAAACCACTGGCCACAGCCGGAACTCCTGTCACACTCGGCACAGTGGGCAAAGTAGTGGCGCTACTGCTTTGCAAGTGCGGCGCATATGTGTGCAATCCGCCTGGCGGTTGGGGAAGCGGAGCCGTCATTCCAGCCGGAGCCAACATGGGCGCCGCGGCCATCCCTGCTGGCGGTCCCGGACCCAAGCCCGGCATAAAGTTCGGCAGATGAAAAGCAGCCGCTCCGTTGAGGGCACCATTGCGCGAGTTCATCATGGGAGCCACCGCTGCCGGAGCGGGACGTGGTGGATTTCCCGGCGCCACGGCGTATGTGGCAAAGTAGTTTAGATGCTGGGCGGCAGCAGGAGCTCTCTGGCCTCCACGGATGTTGCCTCGATGCGAATTGCCGGTATTAACCACATTGTTTCCAGCAGTGTTCTGAGTCGTGGGCCCCAGTTGGTAGAAAGCTATCGCCTGTGTTTGACCAGCTCCCGCTGCCCCGCCGGGGCCTTGCTGTTGACCATTTGGCGGAAGCTGCTTCTGCTGCGGCGGCGGGTAGAAAGCGGCTGCCGGAGTTCCGGCCGTTCCGTTCGTGGGAAAGGGTACAGCCGACTGCATACCCATCAGTTGTCCGGTCTGGTTAAAGGGTACATAAGTCGCCGCAATGTAGGTGGCACCCGCTCCACCCGCATTTCCTCCGGCGGGAGCGATCAGGCCAGCTGATGGCTGAAAGTGGGGCGGTAGGGTTGGATTGCTCAACGCACGGGTCAGGTTGGGGCTGGCCGCCACTCCATTGGCTCCGACATGGCCTACATTGTGAGGATGTCCCAGGGAGTTGTTGTTGGCGGCGGCGCTCAGTTGGAGGGCAGCGCCGCCGCCGCCATTGGCATTGTTGTTGACCGCCGCGCTGTGGGCGGTGTAGGGCGGCGGCGGCGGCTGGGTATTGTAAAAGATGACCGGCTGATGGTGCGCCTGGGCCTGGGCTTGCACCTGCTGTTGCTGCTGTTGTTGGTGCTGCTGCTGCTGCTGGATGTGTTGCTGGATTTGCTGTTGTTGCTGCTGCAGCAACTGTTGCTGCTGATGATGGTGTAGACCGCTATGGTTTGGGACGAACAGCGCGTGGGACTGCTGCTGCTGTTGTTGTTGTTGCGCTGTCTGCTGTTGTTGCTGCTGGCTGGAGGTGATGGTGATGCGAGTGCGCCGCCGCCTGGTGGTGCTGGGCTTGGTGGTTGTGGTTCTGCTGATGTGTCGACTGTGGCCTGGTTCCCTTCCCACCCCCTCCCTGTTGTGGGTACATAGGAGGACCTTCGGAGGATCTGCACACGCACTCAATCGCACGGTCACACGCAAAGGCACAGGCACACACGGAGAGTTAAGAATACCGCGGCCGGAACAAAACAGATGTACAAATTGTAATGTTAGTAAGATGGAAATGGAAGTGAAATTGGAGATGAAGATGGCGATGTGGGTATATTATGGTTCGGGTAAAAGCCGTGGAATGCATGCGTGTGAGTATCAAATCGAATGGGTGATGAAGCAAAAGAACCAAAAAGCAGCATGCAAATCGTGTGTTTAGATCTTATGACTAAATACTTCAAACTACACGAGTGCACTCCCTATTTTCCCCCTTTTTCTGCCAGTTTCTCACTTAATTGAGCTCTTTAATTGGTATGTGGAGTATGATGTCACCCGCGGGGCGTGTTGTACATCCAAAATGCTTTCGAAGATGGCCCGCCACACACCTTATCGGCGGTTTTATCAATAGACTAGTCACTTTCGGTACCCGAACAGTACTAGCGGATGGGTGACACACAGTAACAAGTGGCGCTATTAGTCAGTGCTGGCCTTAAAGCGGAACAGCACAAAGGCGGCCACAAAGAGGCGGCAGCAGCCAGCGGGCGTGGGAGGTGAGCGATGGTCCGCTGTCGCCTGTTTGGCCACAACCAGTTTGGCATTCCATCAGCACTTTCCTCGGCACAGTGGAGACCAGCAGAACTGGATCACTTAAAACTGTTTACGATGGGATTTAGTTTTAATTCGACTAAACGAAATTTCTTTGTTGTTTTGTTAAGCAAATTTCATTAGCTGGGACAATGCTGATTGATAAGAATATGACAGTTGCATCATGTACGTAGGTAGCTGAAGTAGCAACGATCGGTGCGAAAAGTGTTTACTCGGAAAATTGAGCGCCAGAACTATTGAAGTTCATATTACCAAATTAAACATAAACAAAGCTCTTAAGACATGATCGTAGGTCTTTCCAAAGTATTTTATGAATGAATACTGATAAGGTATTGATATTAATGTTTAAAGTTCTATAAAGCAAGGATCTCCAAGAGGCAAAGGGTTATTTGTGCAAGTCATTGTAAGATTTAAGAAAGGCACACTCATTTTTCCAATAACCTAGACCTCTGCTTGAGTGTCTGGCCAGATTCCACTGTACTGTGTGCCCATTGCAGCTCTGTGCTGGCCTAGAAAAATCAACTCCGCTGCAGTTTGAGGCCAAGCACCTCCAAACACCAAGGAGAAAACCTGTTTTCCAGCCAGCAAAGAAGCTGCCGCTGCAACCAGAGTTTGGGCCCCTCTTTTCACTCGATGGCGAGGAAAACGAAAACCTGGCTGGCAGAGATGGCTCACTGGTTTCTCGTTTGTTTGTAAACAAAACCAGTTGGACCCATGTGTGGGTGCCGATCTAATTGGGAGTGCACTCGTATTCGTATTGGAGACTGTGTGATGGGCGAGGTGTTGTTGTGCACTAAACTAAGAAACTAAGGAACCAATAACTAAAGTGAACTATTTACACAAAGATTAAATTTAGAATGCGAATGATAGGTAGACAAGTGGGAACTTACCGCTTCCTGTGCTGCTGCTGCTGCTGTCCCTGGGGACTCCACTCGCTTGGTAGATGTGGTGATCCTACTGGTATGCGGTGTATCCTGATGCTAGGTCCGCTGCCCGAAAAGGCAGTGGTTACTTACGCTGAGATCCTAATGGGGGATCTTGACTCCTGGTCAAGCCCTACGCCTCCTCCTCCTGTTGTGGTTCGCTATATCCGGAATACTCCGATGTCTCAGATATTCCATGTAGAAAAATACGCGAGCTCTACGATGCACAGGCACATCCACATTTGTGCAGACGGACGAGGGGCACGTACACGTACATACGTACAAAAATATACAAAATAACGGTACGGCTAGTGCTAAATTTTCACGGTAATTTGTTCTGTAATTGGGCGTCAGAGGAAAGATAAAAGTGTGCTTAAATTTTGCATTTACAAGAAATTACAATTTGATTGAAATTCTACGAATTCCCGAGCAGCGCCTGCTACGATTTTCCTTTTCCTTTTCCCTCTCTCTCTCTCTCTGTCTCCTCTTGTCCAGCTGAGCAGCCTCAGCCCCAGATTGAGAATGGAAAATGGCCAGGTATTTCGTATTTTGACACTGCTGGCAAGGGGATTTCGGTTTTTAGTCACTTTACTTTTCTGGTCTTCCCCGCTTTCAAAGTTTTCGCTTTTCCTGCGAAGCGAGGCGTTGGTTGTTGTTTTTTGCCGTTTGCCGTTCGCCCTTTTTGCGCTATCTCTCTGTCCCTGTCTGGCCGTCAGTACTTACCGCTCCGCTCCACTCCTCACGCTCGCGCCCTCTCGCTCGCACACCTAACACACAAAACTGAGGAAAGGAAACAAAAAAAAATGCAGTTCCACGCGGGGAACACGCCAAAAAGTTTCTCTGGCACTGCGCCTTTACATCAGTGCATCGTCTGCCACACCTGTTATGTATACGCGGCTCACTATCTGTTACAAATAATTTTGTAAATGACGAATGAGATTGAGGAGCAATCAGAAAGTTTCACAATTCACAATAGGCTAGGGGTGGAGAGACGTCGGTTTAGGGATGATATGTTTGGTATTTTTTGAGTAAAAATAATATTTTTTTCGAAATACTTTTCACCTGGTATATCGCTGTTATCGCAAACGTAAGGGTCGGAAACGTAAGAGTCGGCAAACGTAAGGAGACGTAACGACAAATTCCGCGGTCGCTGCTCTGCCGCTGTTAGATTTTTATACATCTTAACAGTGCTGTTAGATTTCGATTTAACAGCTGTTAGAAAATCGCGGAACCTAACATTTTAGAGCGCCAAAAGGTAAAGGTAAAGTAAGAAGTAAATTACCTAAAATTACCTTACTTTTTTTAAAATTCTCAGAAATTAAAATAATCAAGCTTTGGCAATGGAGGTCAAAGAAAAAGATAATTGGTTTGATAAAAGGTATAGGAACAGAGAAGTTTTAAATATTTTTAAATTGCTGTTGATTTTCTAATAATAAAATAGTTATTATTATAAGATATCTACATATTATAATCTCATCACATTTGCCTAATTTATGACTGATAAATTCGGTACCGAATAACTCGTTGCTTCTTGCGTTTAATAAAATATACACAAACAGAACTGAAAGGATTATTTTGCGGTTGGAGAAGCAAAAAGACTAGACCGCAAATGCAAATGTTTTAAGTTGGCACAACAAAACCGCAACAGACGTCAGTTTTTCCATGCAGTTGTGAAGTCATTTGCATTGCTTGTTTTCCTGTGCGTTCAGCTCATGTTTTTGTGGCCTCTGCGGTTGGGATAAAGACAGTGGGGGCACAACAAATGAATAAAAAGAGGGAGGTCAAACTTTATTTTAATGATTTCGGCCTAGATATGACCTTTTAAATCAACGGTCGCTTGGGGCGACACCTGGGCGGGTGGCCTTGAAGCTAATATGCGTTTTTTTGTATGATTGCTGAAATTTTTTTTGTCAAAAAAATAGAAGAGATATATAAATTTTATTAAAATGCCTTATTTATAATGATTATGTTTGAACATTTTGCGTTAGAACTTTGTAGTCGTATGTAAAGTTTTTCTTTTCTGGGTTAAATAATATTACTTGAACCCCCTTTTCCCCCATACCCCTTGCAACGCCACTGTCTTGCGGTATATTTTCCTACTAACAAGTTCTTTCGGTATATTTTTCAGCGGCGAACGGTATCTTTCGGGCCCCGCCTGCAGCCACACCGACGTCGAGCGGTCACACTAAGTCCGAAGCTCGATTCGATTCGCCCTGACGCGCGTAACGCTTTTTTCCCGCATCACTTTCCTCCACTTTGGCGCTGAACAAATCTGCACAACGAAAAAAGGATGCACCACACCAAATACTCAACAAAATTCGACAACTGCACCTGAACCTGTGTTATCAGAAACAACTCTTAATTTACTAATTCAAGTTTTCCATCCATGTAAAAACAAATAAAAATAGTGCGCGAACTAAAAACGCGTAAAAACCAGAATGGGCCTAGCCCGAAATAAAACATTTTCGTTTCTTTTTACACCTTTATTTAACGCAATCAATTAAATCGCAGCGATTAGTAGGATTTACTCAAAGTGAATCGCGTTTAAACCAACTACAATAAATGTTAATGTGAAAATTGTGCAATAATTTAGAGAAATTTCTATAAGAAATTCATAAGTGAGTTAAGCATAAATAAATATTATTGGAATTACAAAAGAAAATAAATGTTATGCAACTAAAGTTACAAGTTAAATCATACAAATTAACCAAGAAGTAAATAGCCAACCGAAAGCAGTAAATACAGATTGATGGATGTACATTGAAGGAATGTGTGTATATTGTGGAGTTTGAGACCTCGAAACAAGGACTACTACAAGGACACAAGGATTACTACACCAAGTTTTGCGTTGACTTTAAGGAAAACCCACCAAAATTAAGAGAACATAATCTGAAACAGAATCACAAAGCGCCCACCTGAGCCCCGCCCCCCGGAAGCACCTGTCCCCGGAATCCGGGCCTTTTCACCCACGCACGCAAGCGCAGGCTCCCGGGAACCACCATTATAATACCATTACCCGTAGTACCACCCGGAAAACCCAAAGGGAGCTGGAAAATTAGGAGCTGCCGAAATTATATTTGCTTTGATTTCGCCTTTGTTTCAATCGCCCAGCCGAAAATGTGGAGGAAAGCGAGCAGGTTGGTCAGGGAAACCACCTCGTGGAAAACGCGTCGTCAGGGACAAGCTGAAGCCCCAGGAGCAGCAGCAGCAGCAGCAACAATGGCAGCACCAACAAAATCATCGACCAGGACGAGGACACCGACTGCACGAGGATTAACCATCGTCACATGGTCGCAGTTGGCAGTTGTTGCCGCTGTTGCAGCACTCCTGCAATGCCGCGTCTGTCAAGGTGAGTGAGTGCTGCATCCGTGTGTCCTGTGGCGTCCTTCGGTGTGTATCTGTATGCGTGTGTAGGTGCCATCAGACAGCGGCGGTCAAAATATTAGAAACTGGTGCTAAATACTCAAAAACAATATTTGATGGAATATAAAATATTGAAAGTATATTAACTTTGATTTTTCTAAATAAATGAAAAAATGATACTTGTTCGTATCATTTTAACTTGATACACTTTGATATCTATTTTCCAAAGGACAGAAACCTAATCTATATTCTATATTTTTACATTATTAATGGTAAAATAAGACGTGTAAAATAGCCTATGAATATCAAGTTGCTCGGACAATTATTTGTACTGTATAGTAACTTTAACTGCTTGGTCATAAGTAGCTATTTTTCTGTAAAAATTGTGTATCGAGTATTGTGCAATTTATTGACGAGGCTGCGTGCAACATACTTTCACTTTTTTTGCTGCCATCGGTTAAGAATGCTGAGATAAATGCTGTCTTGTGGTTTGTCTGCAAGTCAATCAGATGGCTCAATAAATGCCAACGCCAAGTCACATGTATGATGAATTCGGCCTTAGGCAACTTGGCTGAGAGTGAGTACCTTAACGAAACCTCAATTAAATCAAGTACCTCTTTTTCACGGGGCCTCGAAACCCTCTAAAGTTGCTCAATCTCAATTGAGGCTTGGCGAGTGCGAACTCAATAAACATCTGAATGTATCGCAAATGATTAGAGCTTTGGGCTATGATGACTTTTAACGACTTTCTATGAAAAAAAATATTCAAATTGATTCGTCATTTTCATACCTCATGAATTTTTAAGGGCCATTAAAACCCTAACTTATAGCTGAAAAACAAATGCCTGCACAAACTATTAGCACCCGTCACGAGACTTGCAATTAAATCTGAACAACAAATTTTGTAATATTTATTATGGGTACTTAGCAAAAGCGTTTAAGGTTTAGTATTTACCTTTTCTCAAGGAAATAACGTGAGTTGTTTAGTGCTAGATGATCAAAGCGCTCTTGAAATTTGATTTATTTATTTTGTATAACTAAGGTTTTCTTTCAAAAATATCCCAGAGATAAATGTGACACACATTTTTAGTGCATAAAGTCTTAATTATAACAATTATCGCCGTTCAAGATAATTAACTCCCAGCATATGTACAGTGAACATTTCACGCTTTCATGATCTAGGCCAAAAATCGTCACACTCAAGATCATAAACGCCATTTGAGCATTTCCTATAAAGTCAAAGGCGTACTTTGCAAGCTCTTCACACCAATTTTGTTGTCTTCTCTCTCTTAATTTACAATCGTGTGAATTCATTATGTAAATGAGGGACTTAAATCAAGCCATTCCCATTGTTTTGCATACTATTTTAAAAACTTTGGCTATAACCACTTAATTGCCATAATTAGATGGACCTAGGTTACTGGGCAGTGACGCAATGTCAGTGGGGTTCAATGAACCTGGGTTGTTGGTCACGCAAAAGAAAAGGGAACCCAGGACTACCTTTTTGAATGTGGGAATGGAGTTGGTTGTTGTTGAATAGTGTGCTACCAAGAATTAACCCATTGTGAGTTGAAACTACCAATTACCCCGAGATTTCCCTCACCCTACCGAAACCATTTAAATTTCTGCTCTTTGGCTTTATCTCACTGACTAATGGGCAACTTTCCTTTCGATTCATTTGGCTCGCTTGACACTCGCTTATAAATTCAGCCAACTGTCGCCGGCCAAGGAAATTCTAATTTATTGCCAAAAATTACTCTTCGCATTATGCAAAACATCGCGATAGGGCATTAGAGGGGCCAATGAACCGCAAGCGAACTAAATCATTCATATCTTGGCCGCCGAGAGGTACTGCCAAAAATCGAGCAGAGCATGGTGTAATGTGGATGGAAACCGGTTGACAGAAACAGACCGAGCCCCATAGCTGTGTACTTGGCCTGCACAGTTCCCAGATACAAACCACCGACTTGGCCCCAAAAGTAACACACAAACAGAAGTGAGTCGGCGGCAATCTTGTCGCCCCAGTCTCACACTTGCGGACGTCTTACTAACCGAGTTCCAGCTCACAAAATTGAGGGGGAAAAAATCGAAAATAAAAATGAAAATGATGCGAAATGTGCAGCCCGTTGAACCCAACTGAAAAGCCAATGGAACGCTTGACTTGCCGCCAATGTAAATTAACTGGGCCTGCTGAAAAACGAAAGTGTGTCGCCATCGAACGCTCGTTAAAAAGTGCGTGTCTTGACTTACGCATGCGATTCCAGTTACCACTAACTAAATATGTACAATGTATGCATAAAAATAATCATATAAGTAACGAAAACGAGTTTTCCAACGAATGTGGATGCGTGCAAAATCAGAGGATTGTTTAAGTACAGGAAGCTGGGTTAGTGGGTTAACTCAGGGGAATCAAACAATAAAGCGGGTTTTGAAAGCTAAAGCACGTATTTATTTAACAAAATAATCACTAAAACAAGCATTGTTAAATTTAATGGGTAACTCATACTTCATTTCAGGTCAAGAGGTTCTTAAAAGCGTATTATTTCAATTATATTTCAATGAACTGTCATAATATTAACTTACAGAGAACTCAATCTGTTAAGAATATACACATTATTAATGTAATTCTGAACAGTATAAGTTTTTACATTTATATTTATTAATTAATTTAATTGAATTTATAAAAATTGTAGGTACATAGGTTTTAACATTAATTGTTCATCAAAATAAGGGAGCTCTTAAGTAAGCATCCGGTTGATAATGATGACAAGCTATGGGAAGCAAAATAAGTACAATCATTTTAAAAGTCATCATAGAAAAACGATCATTTATTTAGAGTGTCGTGGGACTTGAGCACATAGAATAAGTGTACAAAGCGCCATAATTAAAATCCATTCAAAGTCAGCTTTGGGCTTCAACTCGTTTATGAACAAGTTCCGGCTCCAAATGGTTATACCTTGTTAGTCTCAAAGGTTTCTAAAATTGGCAGGAGAGTAAAGAAGATAGGGATCTTAAAACGCATCCAATTATGCCTGTCATATCTGAAACCCTAACTCGGTTTCTAAGCCACTTTGCCTGTGAAGTGAATGGCCATCCTCCCACGCAGTCGGTTTTATATGCGAATCGCCCCCGTTTTCGATGGGGATCTTTATAATCCCACATATGGGACATAGGGCGGCCAATTAAACGTCGTTGGCCTGCACTTTTGTCCAGCCATTTTGGTAACTTTCCGCTGGCTTATTGAAGTTGGCGGTTGGAGCGGCGGTGGTGCGGTTCATTGAGTCCCAATTGTCCGCTGTGGGCGGTGTGGGCGGTGGGCGGAGTGGGCGGTGGTGGTGCAGTTGGCCAACCACGAACATCGACAGACCAAAGCCATAACAGCGAAAATATCAAACTGATTTGGTTGTGCAATGTTGCGCTTACATCACTCCACTTCCTTTCCCTTTCCACTTTCGAATGTCATTGCGTATGGGACATGTGGAGTGGAATGGGGAATTAGGATTAAAATTCAGCAGGGAGTAAGATGAATGCACAGGAAAAACCATATACCTTGTTATAAGAGCTCTATTGCCATTTAAATATCAAAATTTATTAGGTCTCTAAGAAATTCCATCAATCCCCCCACTAAATATGAAATCACGATGTCTAGGAATACCATAATTTGACTAACCTATCAATCTGTAATCTTAGTTTCAAGAAACAAATCAAATTTTAAATCCTTTGATGTATTTTGACGAGATTATAAAAAGAACATAATAATCTATGTTTATTTTTATCATGGAACAAATCAACTTTCTAAGAGTGTTCAGTGCAATAATACAAATATCAAAGCAACTGCAAATAAACAGCAAAAATCTCAAATCTTTGGCATATTTGATAAGTCACACAGAAATACCCGTTTGCTTTGAATTTGCTGACCAATTTATGTTTACAAAAATTTGTTCTGTGCGATAGAGCTTTGTGCGGAACTGGAAAAGTGCAGTTTTTGACAAGCTTATCGCTTGTTTGCAGTCCACAAACTTATTTCTGTTGGGTACCCGCTGCCATGGCAATGTAATCTAATTCACACCAGCCACTCCCACATCCCCCCTAATAATATTCCACATATATATGGTGTACCATCCTATAGCATATCCCATAGCCTCGGGGGGTGCTTGAATTTCACGTGAGTGGAGCAGTTCTAATGCCGGGCAGATTGTCGAGCAATTTGCAGCGATTAAATTAGCTCAAGCGTGCCGCCAAAGAAGCGATTCCTTTCCAGCCTCCTGTTGCTGCACTCTGTGAGGTTGATGTTGTTATTGCCGGCGAAGGACTAAGGTATTAAGTGAATACAAATGGGGGATCGGGATCTGTGGTTCCCCATATGAAACCACCACCGAAACGAAGCGAAACGAGCGGATAGATAGAGCGGGACAGAGCGATGTCCTTGTGGGTGCAAAGCCGCCACGCCCCCCGCCCCAAAAACACCCACTGTGAGCCGCATAATTCTCTGTGATGTTGCCGCGCAAAATGTTCTAATCTGTGCGCTGGATTTACACATTGCTTCCCAGGCAGCACCACAATCGCAATCCTACAAATCCTCCAACTCACCATCCGCAGCCACATTGAAACTTTGTGTACATATTTGAGTTTCATTTCGTTTGTGGCTAGGTTTCGGCTAACATGAAGTCATAAAATTGAAATAAATATAAATGCGAGTTGCGCTGATTTCCAGCTGAGCGGTCACGCCTCCTTCTAAGACGGGGGCGGTGGCCGTGGCAGCGGGGGGCCCACAAATCTCCCAGGAGTGTTGGCCTCAGCCGGGAGCAGATAGCGCGCCGCGGGACTCGGGACTTAAGTCTTTAAAACAAATTACTGGGGAGGAAGTCCGGCTATGCCAATATCATGGTTTTCAGGTACATACCTCTTGCTGCATACTTTTTGGGTATGGGTATAACCTTCCGAACCCTTCCTAGAATTCCCAAACAGTTCTGGCAATCTACTCACGGAACCCTTAAGGTAGAGCTGAGGAAAGCATACTTACCTGGCGTAGAGGTCAACCGTGATCACGAAGGCGGTTCCTCCGGAGTGAGGCTTGGCCATTGCACCTCGGCTGAGTTGACCTCTGCGATTATTCCTAATGTGAATAACTCGTGCGTGCTATTTTTGGTAGCCGGGAATGGCGTTCGCGCCGTCCCGACATAAAAGATACATTTCCAATAGTTGTAATATGCAGTATAAGACTTATACTGTACTTACTGATGAACTTATACTATAAGATAAAGAACGCCTTGGAGATCTTGCATGTTTCTTAAATTCTACTAGATATCTTTGAATTGAAGAGATTGGTATTGATTGTATAAGATAGGTGAAGAGAGCTATTCAATTGGATCGGTATTCATTGTTTAAGATATCTGGCTAAGCCTGGCTTAAATTTTCTATATTTTGTATATACATATCTGTATCAATGACTTATTATCAGCCGCAGTCAAATAACAACATTTTAAGATACATTTTCTGTTTATTTTTCGAACAATTTGGTTACGATTTAAATATTTATCGGGCTTAAACTCTTGTGATTTTCTGTTAATGGATAAAAAGATACAGCATAGCTAAAATTTGGCATTTAAATAATAATTTGGTGTTGTAGAATGCATTTAAGGCACCCATTCCCCATAATTTACCTCTGATTCCGAAAAACTGTTCAAATTTCTTTATTTTATATGGATCAAACATAATACATTTCAGACTTTAGTACCAAGAAAGGGAAAAATATATTAATGTTTAACATGAAACAGCTACCTGCGCATTGGGATTCCTTTGTTATAAACGTAGCCTACTAAGGACTCAAAAATGTTTCATTTCTCCTTACCAGTCATAATTCCCAACTGGTTCTGGCTACTCTGGCAGGGAAAGCCTACCGTCGAGCGGAAGAAAGCATACTTACCTGGCGTAGAGGTCAACCGTGATCACGAAGGCGGTTCCTCCGGAGTGAGGCTTGGCCATTGCACCTCGGCTGAGTTGACCTCTGCGATTATTCCTAATGTGAATAACTCGTGCGTGTAATTTTTGGTAGCCGGGAATGGCGTTCGCGCCGTCCCGACATTAATAATAAATATTAGACAGCATTATGAAATAACTAAGTTTAGTGATAGTTGCTAATTGAATTGTAAGAAAAGTTTCTCTTGCTAAAAAGCGAAGGTAATTTGAACAAATGTTGTCCGATTTCCAAGGCCATTTTGGGTTCTCTTCCATCATCGATCATTAGGAAGGGATTCCTTGGAATGGGATTCCCATCCATTAGCTGCCTTCGTTTTGTTAGTGCTCCTTGTTGGTCGTCGTCCAGCCTCCTTTTTCGCGCTTTCTTATTTATTTATCATCATTTATTAAACGCTCTCGCTTCCCTGCCAAGTTTCCGATGCCAAGAAAGGAGTCGCTCCGTCCGAGTTCCGAGTTCGGCAAAAAATGTCGCTGTCAGATTACGTTGCAATATTGCTTCCAGTTGCCATATCCTGCCGACTTTCCGCCCAAATTCACGCTGCGAAGGACGAGGGAAACGGCAATCCGAGGGTCGGTCCTTTCCCCATTCCTTTGGCTTTGACACAAGCAACAATTTACTCGGTTTCAGGTTAAAGTCATATCGTTAGCATTAACGCTTTTTGATTTTTATTGAGTCAGCTAAATTTTATTCGATTTACCATCCACACACACACACACAGACACACAGATACTCGGGAGCACACACACCCTCGCAGTGGGAAAGACAAATACAGATGTACCAGCAGCATCCCCCGTCAGAAGAGCAGGGCACAACATTCCTGGGGAGGAATATTTCCGAGCTTTAATGAGGTTGGGCCACCAACCAATGAGTCCTTCGGCGGGGGAAGGACGACCTGCCATCCCCGTCCTGCCCTCTCCTTCGCCCAGGAAGACTCCATTTCGGAAGTAAATGAAAATTTGATTTGGAATTTCGTGTGTCCTGGTCGTGCGTGCGTTACAGGATCTCAAACCAAGCCCAGGAACCCAAAATGAACCCCCGAACGAGGATGAGGATGAGGATGATGATGTCGCTCCTGATGCTGATGACGACGTCAAAGTCGAAGATGGGCATGTGATAAAATAAATTACGGGCAGATTAGTGCGAATTTAATTATCGTTTGTTCCTTTGATGTCGCGCTGAGTAAATAAAGGGAATAAATATGATGATTATTCAAACGGCAGTTCTAATAACATTATTACCGTACCGGGTTAATTGCGGAAAATGTGCGAGGCTTTGCTTGAGGAATTCTTGGTTACCTGAATTTTCCAACCCCTAACAGAGCCTACTTTTCCCCGTGAAATCATAAGTTGCTTGTGATTCCCAATCTGTTCTAGCAGTCCACTTACGGAGTGCTTAAGTTAGAGCTGAGGAAAGCATACTTACCTGCGATTATTCCTAATGTGAATAACTCGTGCGTGTTATTTTTGGTAGCCGGGAATGGCGTTCGCGCCGTCCCGACATTAATAATAAATAAAGATACCTTATGAAACTAAGTAATCCCCACTTGAATCTCCCCCTTGTTACAGCAGCAGCAACTGCTTAGTGCAAATATTTGCCATAAACTGAAAGTCAATCATTTGTCCATCCATCTCAGGCATTCGCAGCCTCCAAAACCAGAAACAGAATGCACTGGTTGCCTGTGGTTACGCTCTTAGTAGTAACACCCACCCAACATCCACCAAAGGCACTTGTCGAGCGGATTGTAGATGGGATTAGGGATATAACCGGGGGTGGGATTGGACACAACCCTTTCCGATTTGATGGTTATATGCAGATTCAGATTTTGGGCAGGGGCTCAAAGCCAAAAGGGGATGTCCTGCTAAGTATCCCTGGCAACCCGTTAATTTATAGGGCTTATGTGTCTGCGATCCTTTCCCCTGAGCCAGCTGGGCATTAGTGGATTAAAAGCGTTTATTGTCTTCGGTATCCTTTGGATTGCACTGTGCGTCATGAATTCAATTGACAAAGTGACTGGAAATAGAAAGAACGCAAACGCAATGTGGGTCGATGATTCTGAGCTGTGCCGTGCGTTGCCAATCAATTTTATCGGCCAGAACCTGGCAACAAGTCAAAAATAAAGCCATCTGCTTGGCAACGTCGACGTTTCGTTTCCTTTTTTTATCGCCTGCGAGGAATCTTATCGGTTTCCAGTGACGAAGAAATCTGGAGACGGACGCCTCAGACACAACCACTCAGCCAGCCAGAAAGATAGACATGGCCATTGACTGTTATTTGTTCCCCCCTCCCTCCGCGGAGAACACGAAACCCCTATACCAAACATTATTAACAACAACCAACGGCGGTCGTGTGCCGGGCAGCCTCAGGCGGTGGATATATCTGGGCTTTTCCCAGGAAGGGGGATGTCAACGTGCTCGTCATCACTTTGTATAAATATCCTCGAGCACGTATATTTCATGGGGCCACGTGCTTTCAGGGGTCCAGGACTTCAGAGATTAATGCACGCATTAGTTGATTTAATTCATATTACGCTTTTGTTGCCGCCGTCGTCCTGGCTACCATATATACCATAGACCATCGACCATCTCCACCATCTCCACCATCAATTGAGACATTCTGGGGAATCCCCTGGCCTCCTGGCAACGATTGTAAAGAGAGAGAGCAGCTTACGGCATTGGGATTTAATATCGAATCGACAAGCCAGAAACAAACTGAAATTGCAACTACCACCCCCCATTTGAACCCACCTCTGACACCTATCATTTGGAGGCTGTCTGTTTCTGTTCTTTTTAAACATTTTGGCATACATTTGCATTGTTTAGCTGGCAAGTTCTACGGCTGGCAAGTCGAGCTTAGCATTGAATTTCAATATATTTCATGGTTTTCAATCAATTTCATGGCGCAATCCCAAAGGGAAAGGCATGCCAACAACTCCCCCGGGGACTTGTCAAGAGTTTGGCAAACAGAGCGCCAGTTCGTCATAGTCATCGTAATCATCATCCACTGGCACAGGAACATCCATCCACATCCTTTTCCACATCCCCAGTTGGTTGGTTCTGGGTTCTGTGTTCTGGGTTCCGGGTTCTGGGAGGCAACTTTCTGTATGGCAAAGTTCTTTCGTCTGAGGATTAATTTGCAAAGCAGGCTTCGCTCTTTGTCCGTGTCCAGCGATTTTCTTGAGCCTCTGGATTATGAATCCGTAGCAGAAATTGCAGCAAAAGCAAAAGTAAAAGCAAAAGCACCTGAAAAATGCACCGCATTGAAGGCTCTTTCTCTGCTTTCTCTCTCTGTGTTTGTGAAAGAAGTGGAAAACTTAGTTTTTGGCCGCCTGTTTCAATTAAATCTGCTCTGGACTAACAATCTCCCAACCCCTTACTTTCATCCACAGCCGCCGGACGAGCCCCACCGGAGCCCTACTACGGCCGCTACATCGGGGACTTTACCAACTTTGCCCATGGCATCAAGGTGAGTTTTGCATTTGGAACTAAATTCAGTCCACTTAAAGTTACCTATACCAAAAAGGTTCTGATTTTAAAGAAATTTAGAGAAGATGTACTATTTTTTCCCTTAAATACTTAAACAATTTCTAACAATTTAAGAGTACTTTCTAAATGTAAAGAGTTTTTATTACAAAAGATCAAACCAGAGAGTTGATTTTAAGAAAAATTAAAGATGAACTTATATTATATTATAATGTATTTTTAGCTTGAGTTAAGCAAGTTCCTTTTTACTAAAATCTTTTAAAAATATGTTCCCCAGGGTCAAATCTACGCGGTGGACGAGTCGACGCTGTTCGTAAAGTCCTTTGCGTACGACGGCACAGGACCAGACGCCTTCTTCTGGGTGGGCAAGACGCAGCGGCCCAGTCCCGAGGGCTATATCATTCCCTATCCGGAGGAGTACACGGGCATGTGAGTATCGCAGTTCTGATAATGCATTTTCACACATTTTTCGGGGCTGGCCATTGATGGTCAGAGTGGACCTTGTTCGAGATGGAGATGATGATGGTGATGGTGATGGAGATGGAGATGTCCTGGCTACTCGAGCGCAGCAGGCCATTTCCTCGGAACGTGAGCGAATGTTTTGGGTGGATGTAGATGTGTACATATATATGTGTTGGGGTCCCCGCATCCTTGCAGACTTTACGTTACGCACGGCTGACAATGAAACCACTTTCAAAAATTAAAAAACATTTTTCATCTCGCCTGCCATTTGTGCTCGTTGTCGTTTTCCTTTTGCCTTCCCGGCGCCTTTGTGGCTCTGCAAGTTGCCAAGTTGGTGGTGTCGCTTGGTTGCCTCCTAATGTGAAAAACTCATTTATTTCTTCACGTTAGATTTGCGGTCATATGTGGAGGGGGTGGGGGGTGTTAGGGGGACTACCGTACCGCCCACCGAAAAAACAACAGCAAGCAAAGAAAGCCGCAGGGCGGCGGAGAAATGGGAGTGGGGCGTTTTAAGAGATAGCGAAGTTTCAGCCTTTCGCCACTATTTACTTTGAGTCGCCACAAGGTTAAGCCGCTCAACTATTTACCTTGTCAGTCTCCTTGCGCTGCCACTTGAACGCACTAAGCCGGTATTAGCCAGGTCCCCGCCCCCTCAAACTGCACCGCCACCCACTAACCTCCCCCTTTTGGCCTAATCCCCATGTTGCAGCCAAGACACGCACACAATTTGACGTCATTTGAATGCTTAGAAATCGAGCATTGCATTTTTCATTATCACAAACTAATCCTGCGCCTCATCCTAATTCCCTGATCCCTAAACCGAAAACAAGGTGAAGTGGCCTTCCACTTGGCATTGACATTATATCAGGCATCACAAATACGCCTAAGGTGAATGTCGTATTTGATTTTCATGGTTTTAATGCTGAAGGGGTGGACTCTTTCTTTGAATTACCCAATGCCAAGGCTAAGGATAGCATGCTTATAACAAAAAAACAAATTCTTTGTAAAGTGTTCATTCTTTATTCTGTTTTGAAAGGCTTGCAAACTATGCTCTTTAAGGAAAATTGGTTTTTTGGCCAACCAATGGCAACCAAAACACTGATTTTTTAGGTCGAAAAAATAGATATCAGATTTTAGTCAAAAGTACTCTTATTTTTAGCAGTTTTTTAAACGTAGTTTTATCAAATCAAGGCGTACAGCTAAAAGATCGACTGTTTTGAGCAGGTTGCAAGATATGCTAACGATCCCAATCACTTTGAGGGAAATTAATTTTTTGATCAATTTTCGCATTTTTTACATTACCTATTTTTGCGAAAAATGGCAAAAATTGAACATTTCTAGGTTTTAATGCCAATGGATTGGAAATTAAACTACGAGAAGAACGAGGTACTACATTCTTCATTCTGATCATTATTGGCAAAATGGCACCCAAAACACTGATTTTTTTTAGGTCAAAAAGATGGATATTAGATTTTAGTCAAAAGTACTCTTATTTTTAGCGGTTTTTTAACCGTAGTTTCATCAAATTAAGGCGTACAGCTAAAAGATTGACTGTTTTGAGCAGGTAACAAAATATGCTAACGATCCCAATCACTTTTAGGGAAATTAATTTTTTGACCCATTTTTGCATTTTTTGTAAGGCCTTTTTGCGAAAAATGACAAAAATTAAAAATTTTGAGGTTTTAATGCCAATGGATTGAAAATTAAACTACGAGAAGAACGAGGTACGACATTCTTCATTCTGATCATTATTGGCAAAATGGCACCCAAAATACTGTTTTTTATGTCAAAAAATGGTTATCAGATTTCAGTCATTTTTAAATCACGAAACATTTAAGTATTTTTTTGAGTGCACTAAAACACTTTACACACCCTAATGCTAGCTTATTTTTGCATATCCAATCTTTGGCAAAATATTTCCGCAAGGCCAAGAATAACAGAGCGCATCGTGCGAGGCATAAACGATTGCGATTCCCGAAAAGCGGGTTCCATTCCCCACTGCGCAGTCTCAGGGCTCCACAGCCCCCAAAAACCCCACAATCTCATAACCCCAAACGCACCCCCTCTCCCATTTCCAATCCCAAATCACGCAGCCAAAAATAAAACCTGAGGATGTTTACGCACTGGATTTCCCCATTCGAAATTCTCAAATGCTCGGCGCGGTTTCGCGCTTGAGAAATCGTTTGATGATGTGTAGTAGTGCCATAGTATGTTGGTTGGCAGACTAAGAACCATTGCAGAAGAACCAACCAAGGCGAATCCATGGCCCAAAAACCCGGGCATTCATATTGTAATCGACTTTAATGCGTTTCATTGTTGATGCCACGTGCCGGGCTTTATTAGTTCAATGTACAACGATGCCATCGCCTCCATTTCCATTTCCCCCCGCCGTCGTCCTTGGTCCTCCTTCGTCCTTCCTGTCCTTCTGACAAAGAGCAACATTGTGCCACGAGTATGGAGCTTTCGGATGGAGGAGGTGGAGGTGGAAGCCCGGAACGCTGTAGCGATTGCACGCTTTTACGCTTTCAGACACATTACCCATACCACCGGGTGGCCCATGCACCTTCTGAAAGGGGGAGTGGGTGGATCGGGTGGGGGGGTGGTTCATGGGTGGTGGGTGCCTGAAGGTCGACGGTGGGTTGGTGCGCTGGTGTCAGCACGATGATGATTGCTGTATTATGTGGCACACCGCTGCTATCGCAATCGCATGCATTTGAGCCAACAAATTGCGCGCGTTTATTATGTCTAATGATTTTTATAGATGTGTATGTATGATGTGTGGCATGACGTCGCCGAGCGATAATTGATAAATGCATCTGATTGGCATTGGGACAGGCTCTGTCGCAGTTCGTCCTGCCACCAAGCTCATCCTCCTGGCAAGTGACAGCCTTAAAACTGGCTTCTTGCTAAGCTTCTCGGGCAGGCCAATCAGCGTTAATTATCCCAACTGCTTCTGGCAGGCGAAGTTGAAGGGCTGCCAATCCTGCTGCATCAGGATAGGGTTTGGCACTCGAAAAAGTATTTAGAGTATGTCCTTAAAATTTTAGAACAGCTTTTAGTTTTTCTGAAAAATATACGAGCCTCTTGCGGTTTTTTTTCTTGTTTGATGCGCTTTAAAGTTTTTTTCTTAGGGAAAAGTATTTATTTAATAAGATCATAAAACTGTTTTGCTTTCAAAAAGGAAACAAAGTCATGTGAAATTCGTCAAAATTTATCGACACTAAAATTCAGAACAGGCCCTATAAAGTAACTGCACGAAAAGCTATTGAGAGGAACTTTATTATAATACCATTTTTCTAACAAAATAACTTCGAAAATATCTTTATTAAATGGTTTTTACCCAAAAAATAGTCTTTCTTGTTAAACTTAACCATATTTTAATTAGATATATGATACAGTTTATAACAGTTTTCCTTTGAACAAAAAGGTTTTACATTTCATTATGAGAGATCATGGTCTTGTTTATTCTTCCAGTGCCTTTCAGTTTTTGTGCTGCTCACTTCTTTTTGTGTTCACGCTCGCTTTACCTCCCCCCTGCAGTGGGTGGATTGGGTGGAGTGGGTGGATTTGGGTGGAGAATGTGTCACAATGGATGCATCGAGCATAAGTAATTAAATTAGAATTTTTTGAGAAGCATAAAGGCGACGCCGCGCTGATTAACGCCCGTTGCCATGACAATGAGGATGACGCCGTTGCCTTGTCCTGTACATAACAGCCACCACCCACAAACACCCCACTTCCCCCCTGCACCACCCACCTCCCGTGGCTGTTGCTCATTTGCATCTGCAGTGTAAAACCCCCTTTTTCCACTCCACCTTGGCGCCTGCCTCTTCGCTTAACGCTGATTTATGCAGATTTCATTAAAATTTGCTGCATGCAAAGTAGCAAAATGAAGTTTTAGTTTTGTCCTTCATTGTTTAACCCACCAGTGCCCACCACCCCACCACTGCACCACCCAACATCCCGGATCATCCTTCATTGTGTTAATCAACGTTGACAGCGCAGCCGCAACACGAACAACTGTTTTGGCTGTCGACTGATTTCGCCCCTGGCTGATGTGCCAACTGCCTTTAACTCGATTAAGCACCAGAAAGTTGGCGGATTCATTCGGCATCCAACTTAACCCTCGGTTGCCCTTGTCCCCTCACCCTCCTTACTTCTTACTCTCCTTCTTATAAAGTATATATGCAGCTTCAGCCCTCAAGTAGTTTCGCCTGTTGCTGTCACTTCACCCTCAGTGCGCTCACAAGTAGGCAACGCTTTTTACACCTTGCAGGGCCTGGTATTCATGGGGAATGCTTAAGATACTTTCAAAATTTTTTAATTTCAGTGCATTTGAAAGTAAGTTGAACTTTAAAGTTGTAAGAGGCTTCGAAGGCCTATGGTATACGGTTAAAAATTAGCCTGTAATTCAGTAAGATGTCACATCCCCGTCCTAAAAAGATATATACCAAAATATTATAAAAGAATAAGCTTTATAATAAAATGGTAGTACTTGAAAGAATTCAAACTATATAAAAAATGCTCAAGACAATTTTTTTTAATGACAGGAACTTTCTGACTTATTACTATTGTAACGCACATTTTAAAAAAATATTTATTTCAGTTCATTAAAAAATAAAACAGAACTAGCGATTAAGGAGTTAGAATATTTTTGATTTTTTTTTGGAATTTTGATGCTTTAATTAGTTAAAAATAAAATAATTTTACAAAAGCCTAAAATGGAAATTATCGCTTTAGGAAAATTACTTTCTCTGCTTGTTTTATTTTGCTGAGCTAACGAAAAACTCTTTTATTATTATAACATTTTAGGCTATAATATTTCCCCGCAATTATTGCTAACTAGATTTCCAGCAGCTCGTTAAGGGACATCTTTCCGTACCTATCTCCCCCTGCGTACTAATTATTATTGTTGTTGGCGTGATTAATGCCCCCGACCACCGGACTTTAATACAAATTTAATTGAGTAGTCGTTCCCGAGCCCGGGACCGGGACTCATTAGTCTGAAAGGCCTGTCACCGACAAAAACACAAAAACGTGGGGGCGTTGGCTTGGCGGCGGCGCTTCGTCACGGAAACATGAAATATTCATAATAATTTTAGAATATTTTCGGTGGTGGTTTGCCTTGTTTGCAGGGGTTTTTCAAAATCCCGGGGATGGGGTTGTATGCTGGATGGTCGGATGATTGGGTGGCTGTCTGCTGAGTTGGCGCGTTTTATTGTCTGCGAAATGCCCTCGATTGTTGTGCGTTTTGTTTATCGAGCGGGAATGCAAAGTGCCAGTCAGCAGGGCGCAACAAGTTGGCCAGTTCGTTCTTAGTCAATGGGAAAGCACACATGAAAAGACGCCTGTGCTCTTTGCGAATCCGAATCCGAATTTGAATCAGAATCTATATTCAAACTAATTGGGTGAAAGTGCACAGGGGCTTAGGTACATATGCATGTATGTGGCTGTTCAACCAGCTGAACGAGGGCAAATAAAATAAAATCGATGAATGGACTGGAGCCCAGCACAATCGCAATACCCAAAACTGAACCGAACCGAACCGAAACTAAAACCCATCCTGAGTGCATCAATAAATGTCGAGCGGAGAGGTCCTTGCCAAGTGGGGAGGACAAGCAAATCAAATAAAGCAACAAACATATTTGCCAGGCGGAAACTGTAATGGAACTAGGAATCGAAGGCAAACAGAATTCGAGGAAAACTGGAGACAAAGGACCAAGCAACCACCAGGACATCGTTGTGTGTATCCAGCAGATACATTTGATGCACTGTTGACACAGAGCCATTCAATTTGTTTTGGCTCATTAGAGTGCTGCAACTGTTGCTGCTTACGCTTCTGATTTCTGGTTCTGTTTCTGGTTCCTTGAAATGAGGCAGCAGGATCTTGGACCTCTGTCAATGTGTCATTTCAAGGGTGCTAAGGCTAAGTGCTTAGCCGTGTCTAATGCGGATTGCGTGGCCTCCGTCGACATTCATTAGACGTCGACCTTTCCACTTGAGTGGCTGACTAACCGCCCCACTGACTGATTGACTCGCCTCCGACACTTGTCCCAGTTTTGGGATAAATCGATCCTGCACCGTCCTCAAGGAGCCCTACTCTATCGAAACATCTCTCCACCCATCCCCGCCAAGGATATCAAGTATATGACTCTGCAACCCGCGACAACAGATACAGATTCATCTGGGCAAACACTCGCTGTCTGTTCAGCCCCCTTGGGATTGGCATACTTAGACTTCAAGTTGATTATTAATATACCCCCGGGGCTTCAGCTCCGTTTTGCAAGTGAAATTAGATGCAGTAACTGCAGTAATGGATATGTAATCATCGCTAAGTCCACATGATTATGGAAGTCTTGGAAATGCAAGCTACAGATTTATCCTAATTCCAATGCCAAGGTATCTCGAAGGTATAATATAAAATAACACAAAACCATGTAAAACAAATGTATATGGGATTATATAGATTTTAATCTCTAGTATAAAAAAAAATGACATGTTTTCTTTGTTTCAGGTGAGTTTACATTTTCACACAAATCCACTGAAGCACTGAGAGCGAAGCCTAAAAAAGTCGCTAATTGGCTGGGGTTTAAAGTCGCTAGAAAAAACTTACTATATATACAATATATACTATAGATATTGCCACCCAACAATGCAACCATTGAGAAGCTCCCATCGAAAGAAGGGGGCAAATGGGGGTATGAGACGTGTGTAATGCCTCGGTTCGCTGCATTAGCCATAAATCTTCATCAGCACTCGCCTCATAAATAATGCGAATATGCGAAAATGAGAAATGTTTTTAGTTTTGTCGTCGCTCGTTTGGTTTTTGCTTTAATTTTAATGACATGGAGTCGCGCAGCGTGCATTCAAACAATATAATATATGTTCCGGAATCGGGGCCAGGGTCCGATCTGTTGCATTTTCTGGCTGGTTTCGCTTTAAGCCCTATGTTTGTACAGTCTGTCAATACAGGTGAAAATTGGAAGCGGTACCTCTTTGGACAATCTGATGACATTTTGTGGGATGGCCAGAAAATTTGTCGAATTGCGTTTAATTAAGTCACTTATCGGGGAATAAAGGATAAACTCACATCGAGAAAACGGTCCTTAAAGTATTGTTTTTCAAACAATTATAATCAATGGCCAACATAAGTTTTTATAGAAGTATAAGCTACAATATTTTCTGCTATACTATTAAATCTTTGAAAATAATAATATAAAGGTTTTTTAATAGTCTCTAAAATGTGACTGTTTTGCATGTGATATTATGGGTATATAAAAATTCCAGTGCTTTAAAATGATGGTAGGGCTAAACAAAATATTTTATAATGAACACAAATGTTACATGAAATTTTTTCAAACGTTATTACTGAATGTTTTGAAACAGTTCTTTAAGTTGCCCGTTTTGAAAACTAAAAGTTGAGATTTCATATAATTTTTGAAAATTTGTAACACCTTGTTGAATTTAGAAGATACTATTATGTTGATAATGCAATGATTTTTCCGTGTGCAGCTCTTAATAAGCTCTGGCCATGGGTTGGGAAAACACACACTTCGCTTTACTTGTACCCATAGTTTAGTATGCTCTGGGCCCCATTTAACTCTGTATCGCCATCTCGCTCTCATCTCCTTTTCGGTCTCAACATCCGTCTCTTTTTGGAACCGCCCGCAGGGATCCCCCCATTTTGCAGGCGCACAACCGAACGGACATCATACTGCGCTTACCCATGGGCAAAAGGATTAAGGACATTCGATGGCTGTCAGTGTGGTGCAGACGCTTCACGGTGAGTCTGAGTCCTTGCTCTTCCCCATCCTCTTCTTCTCCTCCATCCCAATCCATAGTATTATAACCATTTTTTCTTTGCGGATGGCACGCGCCATCCTCCCAGATTTATTATGTGTGTGTATTTAGCCTTTTTTGTAATTACATTTTTGTAATTTAACTGCAGCTGCACAAAGATCTTATGCCTTTCATGCCATCGATTATGGTCTTAATAGCTTTTCACCAAAAAAAAAGAAAAGGAAGTTATTTGGTTTCCCGTCTCTCGTTTGCTTAAGAGTAAATTAAGGATCTACTAAGGAGAGGCAAATAATCCCTTTGTACAGTGTGCAGTCTATAATGTGGGTCAGCCGACTGGAACTTTGTTTTCATTAGAGTTTTAGATTTTAATTACAGTGCTGCAAATATGCAAATGCCATCGTCCAACGTCCACCGGCAATTATGTTTGGCTTTGCCCGGCGAAAATTACTTTTGTTTAAGTTTTTCCCCCAGGAAGAAGCGGAGTACAAGTGCATTTCCAGATAGATTCCCCAAATTGGAATCGGGTTTTTGCGAGGGGGGTTTCGTGGGGTTTTTGTTGCAGGGTCGAATAAAAGATGGCGGCCGTAGTAAAATAAATTACAGCAGACATTTTTGATTAACTCAAGTGGTTGCATATAAACACACACACCCGCACACAGGGGCAGACCAGCCCCCACCACACACAGATACTAACACCGATGGGGGTCGTGTGTATCTGTGTGGCATACAGGGTGCTCCTTCCTCTCGCGACTGTGTGTGTGTGGGTGTACGCTGCCTTCCATTGACTGACAGCCAAAAAACTTCTTGGGGGCTGACTGCCGCACACCCACACAGATGCACCCGGATTGGGGTTAGTTTGCCCCTGTGTGCGTCCGTGTGTATCTGTGTGCGAGTGTTGTTTGTGGAGTTTTGAGCGCGCATGCCCGATTTTTTACCATGGGTAGGGGGTTTTTGGGGCTTTCAGTGGGGGGAGGGGCAGCAGGAGGGGTAGCCCCCACATGGAGGCATACATAAACACACATTATGTACAAATGTTTTGGGTATACAACAACAAAGCGCTTGTTTGCTTACTTAGAACCGCGTCGAATGTAGACACTGTATCGCGTAAAATGCACATGTAGAATTTAAGATATACCCTTAAATGTTGACTCTAAAGTAAGGATAAGTTAGATATTTAGAATGAGAACTAAATTTACTCAAGATAAAGATTCTGAAGTTGCATTGCCGTCTAGATACAACACCCAAATTTGAATCTTAAGGATGAATATTAAGGATTTTAAAGGTTAAAGTTATACATCTGATTTGAAAGAGAACCAATTTTTAATAGCTTGTACATAATATTTAACAAAAATATTGAGCAAATATCCTTTTGCACATATAAATTTCCATTGTTATAAGAGTAATCATTATTCGTTTGCTTTGCTGAGCAAAAATTTGTAACAATGTAAAACTAAAATCACCCCAGCTGATATGTGATGTAGAAAGTTCATATATTATGTAGAGATTGGATAAAAAACACAGCCACGCCTTAAACATCAGAAAAAAAAACCGGAAGATGTGCCTGAAACCTTTAATCATATGCCCAAGAAGTCCCGCTCATTGACCTTAACCCCCGTTTCAGGTTGATTTTGGAGAGGTGTTTATACCATCCAATCTGGATGTGCCCAAGCCGCGGGTTCTGCCCGAATTCAAGCGATTGGCCCACGGCCTGCGTTCCAGCAACATCAGCGTACTGGATGCCAAGACGTTCTACATGTGAGTTTTGCTTGGATTTATGCATATTAAGTATTTTAACAAGGATTATTTTACGTTTTATAGACCCAACCTGCACTACGATGGAGCTGGACCTGATGCCTATTTCTGGGTGGGCAATGGCAGCGAGCCAAACATCATGGGCATTAAGGTCAGTGACTCGATAATGAAGTTCTTCGAACTATATTTTTCAAAATAATGTATTTGGATATACTTTTACTTGAGGTTTCTATTAACTCTTTACTTTCCTTTTAGGTTCCCAATGAAAGTGGTTCGTTGGAACCTTTGCGCGGCTATCAAGGAGAAGACATCGAGATCCAATTGCCCGGAAGCCTGACCGTCTACGACATCGACTGGCTGGCCGTGTGGTGTGTGGAGTACCGGCACAACTTTGGACATGTCTACATTCCCAGGGATCTGGACGTACCGCCAGCCTTGGGTCAGACCAAGATAACGGTAAGTGTGATGCCCCATATCGGATATACTACCCAGTTAGTTCCGGAACATTGCCCCCTTACATATGCTAGCATTTGCTCATTTGCACACAACTCATAATGTATATCTCTTTGACTTATGCGCGCCGCATTAGCCTTCATGGTGGTATTCACCCGTGAGTACTAGACTTAGCCTCATGCATGTCCTAGCTTCAAAAAAAGAACAGATCCCCCTGACTGTGCCCCCTTGATCCCTTTCAGACCACCACGACTCCTCGGCCGGTGTACAGCAATTGCCGCGAGATCCTGCCGAATAAGCTGCAGGTAAAGTGGGAGCTCCAGGGCGAGTATCTGCAGATTGAACTCTTCGGACGTATCAACGAGGATCAGTACATGGCCTTTGGACTCTCCGGGGCGAATGGCCGACCCCAGATGTCCCAGTCCGATGTGGTGGTGGCCTTCTACGACACGGTTGCCCGTGTGTTCCGAGCGGAGGACTACTTCATTTCGGATCTGTCCCAGTGTGATGGTCAGCGGGGTGCTTGTCCGGATGAAAGGATCGGAGGTCGCAACGATGTGATTGTGTGTAAGTAGAATATAAGGAGGATTTTAACAATTAACTAGAACTAGCTAGTACTAAATCCCACTAATCGGTTTTCCTTCAGTGAGCGGAGATAGAAAGAATGGGGTCACCAGCATTCGCTATAAGCGTCTCCTGCAGCCCAATGAAGCCATATATGATGCTCCCATCCCCATCGATCGTGAGGTTTCGGTGATAGCCGCCATTGGTCCACTTAATGCCCGGAAGGAGGCCAATGCCCACTCGCACACCGCCAGTGATCACAACCAGGACGACATTCGCATCAACTTCTCGGCAAGGGTAGGCTCTACCACTCAATAAATAGAGATATATATTACAAATATGGATTTTCCAGAACGATCACGCCTGCAAGAGTTCACTGTACGATGTGAAGGACGAGAGTGGACCCAAGCCATGGCCCACGCGCAAAATCGAAGGTGTCAGGAAGTTCCGTGCCAGCATTGGACCCACGGGCGGCAAGCGGGGATATACCGCCATTACGAAGGTGCCCTCGTGGGGCATTGCCTGGTATGTGAACGATCTGCTGATCCCTGAGATTACTGTGGAGCGTGGCCAGACCTACGAGTTCATCATCGAGGGCGGCAATGATTCGGGTCAGCCAGCAAGGTAAAAATACTAGATGAAAATGTTATGATATATTTACAGTATTAACATTTATTTCTAGCTAGTATAGCATTTAAAAGAAATAATATTTTTGGTATACCGATCAGTTAATAACCCCTCTTTTAATGCAGATATCATCCGTTTTATATCACGGACTCTCCTGAGGGTGGACTGGGACAGAAGGTGGGTCTAGAAGCACGAAAGCAAAAGGCCTATGCTGGAGTAGAATACGATGATGATGGCAATGCTGTTCCAACAGGAGGTATGATCTTATGACTTATATATTTTTTAACACTTCATCATTACTTTGGTCTTCGTAAAAGCCGGTCGTTATTGCGAATGGGAGCACCAGACCATTGATAGATCAGCGGAAATCGAAACCTTCGAGGAATACATGAAAACACTGGTCTTTAAGTGTGAGGATGGCGAGCCTGGTTATCTCAATTGGACAGTTCCCATGAATGCTCCCGATGAGCTTTACTATCAGGTGAGAGAAAAAGTATAGGTGCATATAGTATGTAACTAGCTAATCTCAACATCCTCTTGCAGTGCTTTACACATAATAATCTCGGCTGGAAAATTAACGTCGTGGACATGGGCGCCTCCAGGGGATCGATAGCCAGCAGTCATCAGCTTATCTTATACGGAATTTCCACAGTTTTTAGCCTGGTAGCGACAAGCCTACTTTTTAGTGGCCACGTACTTGCCTGATAGTGCCAGTAAATGGTCTTACGATCTAGATTTCTAGACAAAATGTTCTACAGACAAGGTCCTGAGATCTGAGCGCATATCCAGATCTATACATATCCCCATTACCATTAACATATCCCGCCCAATTTTAAAGCATTTCCATCTTATCGATACGAATTTATAATTTCACACTGACACACACACACAGACTTGGGACTTGTCTGTTGGAGGTTTTGGGCCACTTGGCGACTATCACAACCAGGCTAATATCATCTGAAAAACATATCTTGACAATAATTCGTAAGATGTAAAACTGTTGAAATTGTGTGTGCATGCGAGGGGGGCCCACTGTACTGCTACAGTGGGCGTAGAATGGGTGGTTGAGCCATATATAGCCGGAACTTGATCGGTTGTTGGCAGTAGATTTTTGTGGCTAGGCAGCGAGAACTTTTTGTACATTTACGAGTATGGAATTCTACTTTTTTACATGTATACTTATTAAATTTACTTATACATCTACATCTCTAGTACAGTAAAATTGTAATTTTTCTAGCAACTACTACGAAACCTACACACAGGCATGTAGATACAGAATCTTGTTTAATATGCGGTTCAATGAAAACGCAAGCCGACAATAATAACGCGACACAGCGACAATAAATGAATGAGAATAAAACAAAATAAATTATGTATATGGGCTGCAACTGAAGCCCAGAGACAATGTACAATAAGAATTATATGGATTTAGGAAGGACGGCAGAGAACGGATGCAATTTGTATGACAATAATATCTACAGATTTGTAAATTTTGAGAAAGTTTCGCAGACAATACAATACTTTTACACAATTTGAATGTACTAAGGAACTAAATACAAATAAGAAAACTATGTTATTTAATGCTACTGACTACTGTGGTGCTTCTTGTAATGATATTAGATGAAATGTAAATCACACGCCGCACACAATTAGAATGGAATACAAGAATCCCCCTCTGGACGGGATGAAGTTTTTGTTATCAGATGGTTTTCTTGTAACTTTTTTAACTATATTTGCATAATTGGTGTTTTTATATAAGCATGATATATATATATTCGTGTATGTTTACAATAAGCGATATGTTTATAATGGTAAGCGAAACAGAGAGACACACAACTAAGATGTACGACAATAAGAGTGGACAAATAAATATGCTAGATACTTGAGAAATATTTGACAAGATATTGAATATGTAATATTATAAACTGATAAATATGCATGTATGGTAAATCTTTTTGATAGTTGTTTGCATTCATTTTGGACAATGGCCTGGCGTAAGCTAAAATAATTCAGAACAATTAACTTTATAGCCAGGGCTAAAGGATCCACATTAAATGACCTAATTTAAATAAGAGAACTAACTTTCCTAAAAGTATAAATGTATAAAAAACTATTGGACACTAATGTTTGTTAAGTTTCTGTTGTTTTGAATCCTTTGTTTCCTTCTCCTCTATAAGTTTACATATTAAGGGCCACTTTGCTGTAGTAATGTACATTTTCAGGCAAAGATACAGAAAAGTGTATGGATCCATAAAATATTACTATGGAGAGTTTTGATATTGAAATTTGACAGGGTCTGGAGCAGGCTTATAAGTCAAATTGATTTTTGTATAGTTAATGCAGCTAAGCGCACAAGAGTCCAGATAAAAATTAAACGAAATCGAAACAAATGAAAATGGTAACCAAATGAAACGATTTATAAATAAATTCACACCTTTATATTCAATTGAAATACATACATATACATATTTACATTAAACAAAAGGCAAGAATATGACTTTCAAAGAATATCCCAACATAAAAATTTCCATGTCGATTATAACTTAACATCTCGTACTTAGATAGCAACATTTTTCTGCATTACCTAAACGAAGTACTTTCATTAAAAATAATAAAAAAAAAACAAAATCAAAAGCAACTCGCATTCAAATCTCCAATTTAATAAATAGATATGCATGAGTCGCAGGCTAAGAGGGCGCAGAGAAAACTAATCCACTTTTAAATGTTAATAGATCGCAACAGATCCCGCAAAAATAAACCCGATTGACAATAGCTTGCCATGAAATTGGCCAGTTCAAGTAAATGGTAGAGAATTGAAAGATTGATGTCAATAATAAGAAGCTTCTCAAGAAGAAAAAGCAAAGGGCGTAAAAAAGATCAAAAACAATTATTCTACAAATAAATTTCCGAAAAGAAAACTTGTTGTTTTTATTTTTTGACGTGTGGGGATGATACAAGTTCCACAGCATTGTGATACAGAGAATTTTCACTGACAATATCTGCTGTCTTGCCTTCTCCCAAAAATAGTATCTACGGATAGACAACTATATTATTTTTAGAGTGTCTTATATTTATTATTAATGTCGGGACGGCGCGAACGCCATTCCCGGCTACCAAAAATTACACGCACGAGTTATTCACATTAGGAATAATCGCAGAGGTCAACTCAGCCGAGGTGCAATGGCCAAGCCTCACTCCGGAGGAACCGCCTTCGTGATCACGGTTAACCTCTACGCCAGGTAAGTATGCTTTTCTCCGCTCGACAGTAGGGTTTCGATGTCAGAGCAGCTAGAACCAGTTGGGAATTATAAGGTGCGCGTGGTGAGATAATGCAACCCTGTAAGTATGCCTTGCAAAATGTACTAGCATGCGCAGTAGAAGGCCCACAGTTCAGTTCCAGCTGAGGCGATTTCGATGGTAAACAAATGTTCTCTCTATTCTTAGCCGTAAATAAATGTGTTTGCTTTTAGATTCTTTTCTTTTCAGCTTTAAAGTTTTATGCCAAGGTATTTCAAGCCACAACTTCTAACTGTTTTTATTTAACAGCGAAAAACAGTTCTATTATAATGTCAGATCTGGAAAGCAAGGTTCGAGTATCCAAAAAAAAGATAAATTAAGTTGCCGGCAAAAGATGTTGTACTATCTTATCATAAACAGGTTGCCGAAAACTCCTTTAAGCATTCCCAGAAAAAATTAAATTTCAACTGTTCCTGCTTCAGAGAAGCAATACCTTTTAAATTTTATATTGATTAAACACAGAAGTAAATCCCACAACTATTTCAAAACCAATAGCTGTTGTACTATCTTCTCATAAACAGATTGCTGGAAACTCTTATAAACATATTCAGAAAAAAATAAAATTTCAATTGGTTCAGAGAAGAAATCTGTTTAAGATTTTATAATAAGTAAACACAGAAGTTAACCAAATAACTATCTCAAGACCAACAAAATCGAGTCCCAAAATGCATAAATAAGTACACCAGAGAATCATTTATGTGTATTGCTAGAAAGTTTTTATTTTACATTTTGTATTTATTATGAACTATTTTGTTGTTTTGTTTTTGTTTTGCAATGCTGTGATTTGTTAACACACCGCGGCGCAACATTTAATGAACACACAGACGTGTTTAATGCATACAAAATAATAATACAAATAATCGTAATGTATAATAATAAGGTGTAAGATTAACTAACTTAGTAATGTATAATGCGATTTGGGCAGAAAATGAATATCAACACACGTAGATCGCTGCAGATATACTTTAACCTATATAGATCTAGACATATGTACGTATAATGCTATCATATTACGCGTTCGATTTCATGAATTCGCTTCCATACGTATTTGTTGACAGAGTTTTGAAACTGTACATGTTGTTCATACGGTTTTTGTTTTTGTTTTCGCTTTTCTTTATTATTTGTTATTTAGAATAATGCTTTACCATGTTTTCACTTGATGAAGTTTAATTGTTGTTTATTATTGTGTTAGGTTCTCCTCGAAAATTCATCTTTCTAAATGTAAGCTCTAGATTTGGTGAGAAATACGTAAATGTTGTTGCTGTTCATGGGTTGGTTGCCCGACCCACAGCAATGTTGGGTAGTTGCAATTGATTGCGAATAATTAGGTTCAACGATTACATTTCAAATCTTGTTTGTTTTTACACAATTATACACAATTTATGCGGCTTGCCCGTGGTGGGCTATAAATATATCTGCGATTTACATTCGGTCTCAACTTTTACAATTATGCAATTTCCATTAATTCGTATGCTTGATGGCTGCTGATCATTACGTTTGTTATGCCTTGCTTTCATTATTTCAAATAATTTTTACATTATACAGTCGGGGGAACCAAACATGAAGCATTAACATGCAATTTCGATCAGGGAATGGGGTGTGTAATGTGTAGTTGGGGAGCGAGTCTGTTAATTTCGTAATTAATCGCATTGATTTGCTAAACATAATGCTGCAATTATATAGTAGCAATCGAATAGTGCAAAACTCTAGCAGCCAGAGACACAACAGATACAAAATTTCACTTCGATTCCTTTCATTCTCCTTTTGTGTGTTTTTTTGTTTAATTCAGTATTCAGAAATTGTTTCCGCTTTCTGTTGCATTTAAATGTTAATTAATGATAATAAATAAAGCCTAGTTTTAATGCCTGCTTCAAACTTGGACATCTTTCAATTACTACAGTATCTATATAGACGTAAATACACGCGTTTATGTATTATATTTATATTTAATCTAGATTATCCTGGAATATTAACTTTATGTAGCCAGTCGCTCCATCCAGGGGCGTCGCACAGAAGGGACAGACGGCCTGAAATCCGTTGGTGCCGTGAGGTATCTCCACATTGGCCCAGTATCTGCAAGAATCGAAGGTGAACCATCAATTAGTAGAGTCATATTTCAGTCATAACAGTGTGTAGAGCTGCTCACTTGACAGTTTTCTCAGTCGCCATGTGTCCGCATGGATTGAACGCGTACGTTGGTGCCCCCACGTCCACATAGAAGGCCGGTTCGAGGCCCATGCACAGAGTGACCACCGGACCGAGTTCCAGGCACATGGGGCAGCGGCGGGCGCCAGTATTCTCGTCCTGACCCCAATCGTGATGGCCTGTCGGAGTAAATCGAGTGAAATTATAGATTTTTTCCAAGCATACATATAAGAAAGCGTTGAAACTCACCCTGCACATGGCCACAGTTTAAGTACACGTAAGGCTGGTTCACCTGATCCCCAATGTTAACTTTGCGTGGTATAACCAGCGTGTTCAGGCCCACCGGGCACTGTGGACGACCGGCGTTGATGGCATCGATAAGTTTCTCCAAATCGTGTTTGGTCTGTAATTAATAAGAGGTTAGTTATGGTTTGCTTGAGGTGATTCTAATCCAGGACTGGATTTTCTAGTTGTCCAAAATCCATATATAGTAATGGTGGTCAACAGAAGCAAAGCAGGCGGCCCATGGGATAGGATATACATCTGCCGCCGCTCTGTCCACACACACAGTATACATCAGCGGTTTCACTGAGCATGTGATCCCCTTCTATAAGCCACCACTGACTTATATCCTTATAGATTTCCAAGGATACCCACCGGCGAATGCTGCAAGCCCTCGGCGGAACGCCAGAGCAATGTTGCGCCGCAGAGATCAATAAGTGTGCCATCCTGCAGGATGTTGCATTCGTCATAGATCTGGGGAAAATGATAAACTTTAACCAACTGTCTGGCAGGATAACAAATTGAACCTACCGGCTGACCCTTCTGCTGGGCCGAACGCGATTCCCGCAGGCTGAAGACATCGCCGCCCACGGAGCATTCGCGCCAGAGGCCGCACTTGGCATTGCCGCCACAGAATGAACCCTTGGGATGCATAATCAGCACACCGTTGGTGGTCAGGCCATCGATTTCTACATTGTCCTGCCACTTGGTGGCCTTCTCCTGTGCAAAGTCAAGTTCGTTTCTCATTAGAATCAGCAGGAGTTAGCCAAGACAGCTGACTTACCCCGAGGAATATGTTTCTGCTCGAATCGAAGCCGGCGGCGAATATTCTCGCCTTGGCAGGCTCACAGCGGTTGACCAGAATGCGGCAGGCGAACCGAGAAATTGTGCTCTGCATCACCTTGGCATCCTTCTTATCGCCCGGCAGCGTGTCCATTACCACAAAGTCAATCGGTGACTCCGAGGAGCGTCCCACCTGGCGGAGCAGAGCAATCATCATGATTAGTTGAGGGTGAGAGTAATGGGGATGGGAATAGGAAGTGGGGGTTGGGGCAACTGATAAGGCAATTTATCAGACGGCAAATAAATGACGAATCATGCAATATTGGCATTACACTTCAGGCCACTTCAGGAAAAGATACTTCGGTTGCCAGGCCAATATAAATATTGAATGACCGGCCGGCTGGGCTTAAGTTAGAAGTCAACAGAGAAGACTTTTGACCTTCTCAGGCGGCGGTGCACTATTTCTGGCCCTTGGCCACGGCTAATTAGCCAAATAACATTCATCAAAGTCAGGTCATAAAAACCGAAGCTCTTGGGGATTGGGTGTCTGTCTCACCTGAAACATGTCCGTTTCCGCGTCCTCCTTGTACTCCACGATTACCGCCTGGTTGCGTGAGAGCGTGTACGAGATTGAATGCTGATTGGCATCCAGGATGGCCTTCGAGGTCTGTGGCGACTGGACGATGTAGTGCTTGGACCGCTTGACGCCACTCGCCTCCGTCCGCTTGTGGAGCACAAACTTGGAGCGTCGCCGACCGCGATCGCCCTGTAGCAAGTAACCATTGTAGCTGCAATGAGACAGATACAGCGATTCAGTATGAGATACTTTATACATTTGGTGACAGATGTGGGGCAAGTTGATAAGAGTTGCGTTGGCATGCGGGATTATTGCTCAACGAATATAATTCGTTTGTTTTATAGGTCAAGTTCTGCCTCGACGTCGGCCATATGTTTACACAATTAGTGGGCAGCAACACTTCCCCGCCTCCCACAGATAATGGCCACTAATAACTCACAAGAATTGCGGGCTAGCTTTTGTTTTCCCTGGGTTATTTCGGTATTTTTGCTACATTAGCTAGGCCATAAAACAAGTAATTACCGATGGATGTCAGTTCT